CCGTTTTCCGACTAAGGGGTAAACTCGTCATAGTTCAAGCATATCAAAATGACGTGTTTACGTGATGGCGTAACAGTTTCTTTGTGTTCTAATGAGAAGTCATAACCAGTAGAATACATCATAATAGTAGTATATAATTGTTTTTCTTACTTTTTAATTGTTTGTTTAAGATATTTTTGTATGAGATTTTCTTCATGTGTTATCTCAGATGTAGATGATTTATCTAAGAAACCCTATAAAAGTGGAAAGCAAAACAGGTTAATTCGACAGTGAAAATAAATTAGGTTATCAATGCCTATGATATAAAAATAATACTGAGATCATGAATTAATTATTGTTAGACCACTATTAGGAAACTGGAAGTACTGGACAATAGCCATTTCATCCTGGTATGGAATTCATCAGCTGTGCATCCTCGGTTAGAAACCTGAGAGTAACAGGAGTTATGATTGCGCACTGCTGATTAGTCCCATACCAGGACGAAACAACCGTCTAAACAGTGCTTCCAGGTTTCAAATAGGTTGGTCTAACAATGATTGATTGACGATTTCAGTATTAAACTCGCTAAAAATTTGCTAACCTGCACCTCGAAAGCTTCGAAACCGGGACATTCGACCATGCGCGAGAACTCCTGACATCTGGATCACTGGGCCGGCATACAACGGTTTTAATGTCTAACTCTGATTGATCTGGGGATTTTGTGCGACCTCAGCCATTTGTCTTTGGTAGTTACTGCCTACACCCGACAGGGTTGAACTCCACTGGTCACGTCTTCTCACTAGAACTCCGAGAATTTCCTCACGAAGCTAGTCACTAGTAAGCACATTTTACGATATTTTAATTAGAGTTATAGACACTATTGTTTTTCACACATTTGGACCTCGGCCCAGTGGTCCAGAGGTTAGGCGTTCACGCGTCTGAACGCAGACCAGGGTTCGAATCCTGCGAGGTGCAGTAGTCGTGGGTGCTCACTGCTGGTGAGTCCCATACCAGGACAAAGTGGCCGTCCAGTGCTTCTAGGTTTCAAATGGTGGTCTAACAATGATTGATTGATGATTTCAAATTATATGCAAACTTTTCGCTTGTGAATTGAATGTATTTTAACATTTAATACAGTAAAAATCTCTACTGTTTTAGTCTACTTTTGATTTGTGACTTGGAAGATTCTATAGGTTCAAACACCTCAGTTTTAAACCGCATCAGACATAGAATCAAGTAGAAAATATAACAAGAAGTAACTGTTTGACATCAGTTAGCTATAACATAGAACTTCGTACGTTGCCGTATCACATAAGCACGAACAGAGATCAAATTGTCAATTCAAATCCTATAGTAGTAGAGTTACTAGATGTATTAGCGGTAATAGAGAAGATTAGGGTTCGAAAATTTTGATTCGAGAAGTATAATTCAGTGAGATAACTTCAGAAAGAGAATGATAGAGGTGATGAAGAATTCAGAAGGTTAGAATTTGAGAGAACACAAAGAATGGGGATACACCTGCTCCATTGCAAACGATTTTGAGCCGTGTCATTCAAAATCTCTAACCATCGGTTACTACTGTCTCACGGACTCCAGTCACGTAGTCTACACCTATTAACATGGCTCAGTCCACTTGTCAGTAACTTCATGTATTGGTTTAGCCTTCGCTAGCTTTCTTCCAGCCTACTCTCTTACATCACAAAACATTGCTCGTTAAGGCAGTTAATGATTGTCCCAATCACTAGCAGATATCACTTTGAATGCAACTATTTACAGTATTCTGTTGAACATATCTACTTACTTATTTACGCCTGTTACCCATAATGAAGCATAGACTAGCGACCAGAAGATTATTTTTTGAGCAAGTTGGATTTCTACGGGATGGATCCGCTAAACCTTATGCTCAATCCTCTTCCTTTATCCGGCCTTCGGACAGGCAGTAACCCTACAATGACTCCAGGCAGAGTTCGTTGGGCGTACTAATAAATTCGATTTATTTAGCGAAAGAGAATGAGAGAAAGGCAATGAGGGATCAAACAATTTACTTACTGTATTCTTCTTATTTAATTTCGTTTTCTTTTTCCAATATGGCTGATAAAGTTTCGAACGAAATATCCCAGTTAATTTTGGTTCTAAATCAGCTAACCAATAAACTTGTTGTGAAATTAAATGTTGCACTGCACTTCGTCGAACATTTTCAATATCCCCAACAGCTAAACCAATCTTAATAAACAAAAATAATCATTTTTGAATTCATTTCTCAGAATATACAACAGATATTGAACAAAATTATTTGACCTGTTTAGCGGTTTTTTTGAGCAAGTTTGTTTTCTGTGGGATGCGATCACTAACCCGATACCCAACTCTTCGCCTTTATCCGAGCATATGACTGGTAGTGTTACGCACGCATGTGATGACCACGTCAATTGTGATACGCTTGAAACTATGCAGAGTTCACCTTAGTCAGTAGACGAGAGCGCGGATCGATGGTCCGGTGACACGACAGGCTAATCTAATACGAGTATCCCAAAACCCCATTAAATGGAAGAAGATTTGTTATGAAGTAGAACATGTATTCTACAAGCATTTAGAAAGTATGAGGTCCGAGTCCAGAAGAGGCTGAGGATCCTAGACTAGGGATCTGGGTCATAAAACGCTACAGATAATGCATATTTATACAGTTAAGTCGAGCAGGAAACAATAGTGAAGTATGTGACATTGACAGTTAGGACGATCAATGGGAATTAATCAATAGGAATTAACTGGTAGTTTGGTGTGTGCTACTTATATGAACGATATAAGTAGTATAAGAAGGGACGTGAAAGAAGAAGTCTCACGGTCAGAAGAGGAAAACGGAAAGCAAATGGAGCAAAATCAAGAAGTGAATGGAGTATTAACAGGAAGGAAAGGAAGCAACAACAGGAATGGAAGAAGGATGGAGCGTTGGAAGTCACGACTCAAAGATGGTGTGCAAATAGAGTGGTGTTCAATGTAATGTTTTCGTTTTTAATTGACTCAGAGTGTGAATTTGCTTAACATAGTCTTCCTGCCACAGTCTTCTTAGTAGAATTAGACTTTCGAGATATTCATTTAGGATGTTGGATGAATATCCCGACGTGTAGTAACCTCAGCAAGGCTCCAGGTGGATCTACTGAGCAGACACCATCGGTGATAACTTACTGTGGGAGAGAACAAACCTGATTAATCCTTCAGCTGATGAAGAAGTTAGTAAAAGATGTTAGAGATGGATAGAACACACATCATGGAAAGAACCTAGCTGCGTCATACGGCAAGCTCTTACTTCGATTCCTCAAGCCTAGTGGAGAAGAGATAGATCGTGAAACATATTGCTCCGACAATTGGAAACAAACTTGGAGAGAATGAATGGAAACTAGTTAGAACTGGAAAGGAAGGCTCAGAACAGCGTAGGTCGGTGAATGCTGCTTGGTGGCATATGCTCCAAGTGTGGTAACAGACGTAAGCGAGCAAGTGATGTGAAATCAGGTTCATATTTACTCCTAGTATATATGTCTATACACACAGATATCAATTTTAAATTTATTTCGTAATGATTCCGACAATCTGATTGGTAATGCAATTTTTGTCTGGAATACATACATCTGTAGTTAGTACTATTTACATTGAGGCTTATAAGTAGTATTCAGTGGATGTACAGCACAGTGTTGCTCTCAACTTACAGCCAAAGAGAGAAATATCAGATACAACAGATTTATTGAGCAACTTCGGTGTTTCGCAAGAACATATGATACTTGGAAGAAGTATATGCCTAGTTTGCAAATGAATGTTTTATGATGAATTTTATACTCTTTGCCTAGTAGATTGTATATCCCCAGAGGAATCAAACGAAAAAAAATAAGAAAACGGTCATGCGGAATTCAGAAAATTAGGATTTGAGAGAACACAAAGAATGAATGCATCTCTGCGCCACTGCAAACGATTTACAGCTATGTCATTCAAAGTCGCTAACCATCGGTTAGGATTTTCTTGTGGATCTCAACCAGGTAGTGTACATTTACTAACATGACTCAGTCCACTTGTCACTGACTTCATGTATTTGTGCCATGTTTTGGTCTGGCCGCCACTAGCTTTCTTCCAACCTTTCCTGACGTCGCAAGACATTGTTCGTCGAGGTTGGACATTCGAAATATATGGTCCGACCACCTAAACTGAGGAAGTTTTAATACTTCATCTATTGCTGCGCCATCCTTACCTAGTACTCGTTCCCTAAATAAAGTATTGCTTACTCGGTTGTCCCACGATACACGGACAATGCTTCGAAGACATCTATAATCGAATACTAATAACTTACGAATGTCCTCTATTCTCACCGGCCATGTTTCACAGCCATAAAGTAGGACAGAGCGAACTGTTGCGCAGTACACTCTTCCTTTGGTTAGCTGCTGGATATCTCGCTTATGCAACAAGTGACGATAGTTGGCAAATGTCAATCGAGCCTTCTGTACCGTTGATGGGATTTTATCAGACATCAGACCATCAGCACTGATGAAACTCCCTAGATAAATGAAGCGGTCTAAACGTTCGACTACTTCACTCTCTATCACTAGTTCAGGTACTGATACAAGCCAGCCATTCTTGAAGCAACATTTCTCACTTCGATGGAGAAAACTGCATCCTGAACATGCTTGTATTGTTGCTTATGGTAGTCAGAAGACTCTGCATTATGTCAGCGTCTTCAATTCGATTTATATTCTTGAAACGTGATAATAATTTTTGAAGTGGACTGCATTGGTTATCTACATTCCAAGAAAGATTATTCAAATGACGCGCCAAATATCAATAAACGAAATTAAAACAATGATCGATTTTCAATAACAACAACAATACAACCCACTTACTAATAAATTCATTAAAATAATTGGTACTAGAAATACAAATGTTGTATAGAAGAAGAATGTAATCCATGGATAATGTAATTGTAGGGATGTTTTCCCAATCAGCGGTTCAATCACAGTCGGTGTATGTTCATATTCACCAACCATCATCATTAATGTTTTAAATAATGATAAACTTAAATACTGGAATGGTTTCAATTCTAATGATATCAATGGATTTGTTTGATTGAATTCAATACTATTGAACATTGGAAAACATTCATTCAGTTGTAGTAATTGATGATCCGGTGTGAATGAATTGGTGATATTGTCCTAGACAAGAATAATAATAAAATAAAGATTATTTACGGAAAAACATTTTGTTATATTGATCAAACTTTGAATTTTGCGCGACCCTGTCCATTTTTGTTTCAGTAGTTAATGCCTACATCCCGACTGGGTTGGATTCTCCACGATTGTTAGGATATTAATCCAATATCCTAAGAGAATTATTGGTCAAATCCTATTGTTCGAGTTCTATTGGTCAAAATTATGGTCGTTTTAACTGTCAAGGTCACAGACTTCGATGTTGTCTCTTATTGGTCATCCGGACTGTCAGTGTCATTTCAAACGTTACTTCCTATTGGTCGTCTTAACTGTCAATGTCACAGAATTCGATGCTGTTTCCTATTCGACCAAAATGTATAAATACTCATTATCTGTAACATTTTATGACCACAACCAGGACCAGGACCCGGTCCCGGATCCCTAGTTCGGGATCCTGATTCTCTTCTGGATTCAGACCTCGTACTTTCTGGATGCTTGTAGAATACATGTTCTACTTCATATCACGTCTTCTTATTTTTACTTATTATGGGGGGGGGTTGGGATAATTGGAATTGAGTAGTATGTCCTGTCACCGGATCGTCGATCCTCGCTCTCGTTTTCCGACTAGGTAAACTCGTAATAGTTCAAGTATATCAAGTTGACGTGTAACGCGTAGGCGTAACAACTATAATGTACTTATTAGTGACTAGCTTCATGAGGAAATTCTCGGAGTTCTTGTAAGAAGTCGTGACAGGTGAACTTCAGCCTTGTCGGGTGTAGGCAGTAACTACCGAAGAAAAATGGGTGAGGTTGTACAAAATCCATAGATTGATCATAGTTAGACAGTAACACTGTTTGGATGCCAGCCAGCTCAGTGGTCTAGAGAGTCTAAACGTTCACACGTGAGACGGAACATCGTGGATTACATTCCTGTGAGCAGTGATCTTGGATGAGCATTGCTGAACATAATTGTTGAATTCGTTGCTTCATGCTCTCCGTTGTTATTTTACTTTTTTTGTCTAGTTCTAAGTGAATATAACCAACCCGGTATATCACCGGCAGTGACATTCTACACATCGTCCATACACGAAACAGAATGTTCAGTTAAAAAAAAATTAATTTTTCCTGACTAACGTCTTCCATGTATCACTGCTATCTACTTGAGTCTAATAAATAAACTTCCTTACTTGCAGATACTTTAATATCCCTTGGAAAATTTAACTAGCTTGTAGATAATTTAGGGATGTTAGATCCCCAAAAACTCACTTGATGGAGGTTCTAATTTTGGATTTTACGTTTTCACGCATGAGCTGATCAGTTGACCTTAGGAATGGATTTCCCACCCGAAAAATCTATGACTGTCATTGGTTGATGTATTATTTTAGTACGCTGTGTTTGTGGCCCTCCTCAGAACGTTACTATCCTTGTATAAATGAACTAGATTTGTATACTTATGAAACTTCATATTTTCTGGGTGCTTGTAGGATACACTTTTTACATCTTACTAAGACTTCTTCCTCTACTTAGTTGTGACCATGGGGTGCTAGGATGAGAGTAGCCTACTGTGTCACTGAATCATTCGTCTTCGCTCTCGTTTACCGAGTAAGGTGAACTCGTAATAGCATTCAAGCATAGCAACTGACAAGCTTATCAGTATAGAGTATTTAACCCAGACATTAAAATACATATTAAACTTGTACCTGAATCATGGTAGATTTAATATACCTGACTGATCTATTGTTGTAATAATTACTTTCATTTTTTTCTGTGCTGTCTTTTTCGGGGACAGGAAAACACTATGAAGTCTTCTTCGACACTACAGTATGCCTGAGAACATATTTAACATTATACGGAATTCTTATGTTGGACTAAACTGCAAAATAGTGTACGAAGGACAGCTGACAGACTAGTTCGTGGTGAATACCGGTGTTTGACAAGGTTGCTTACTCTTGCCTTTTCTCTTTCTCCCGGTGATCGACTGAATTATGAAGATGTCAACATCTGGCGAGAAGCACGGTATCCAATGGACAGCTAGGATGCAGCTGGACGATCTGGCTCTTCTATTGCACACGCAGTAACAAAATGCAAGAGAAGACAACCAGTATAGCAGCAGCTGGTCTCAACATACATAAAGGGAAAAGCAAGATTCTCTGATACAACACTATATGCGCCAACCAAATCATTCTTGATGGAGATACCTTGGAGGACGTTAACACCCTTACATATCTGAGCAGCATCATAGACAATCAACGTGGATCCGATGAAGATGTGAGGGCGCGGATTAGTAAAGCAAGGACTGCATTTCCGAAATTGAAAAATGTCTGGAAGGCCTAGAATCACATAACGCCAAGAAATGAAGACAGATATGAGAAGAATGAAGAAAAATTGGACAGAACTGGAAAGTGAAGCCCAGGAGAGAGTTGGTTGGAGAAAACTTGTGAGCGACCTATGCTCCATTGGGGTTAACAGGCGTACGTAAGTAAGTAAGTAAGTAAGTCTCTTTTCGAGTTTACTTTTTCTAGTTCGGCACCAGAAACGACATTCTACACATTGTCCATACAGGCGACAGAATGTCCAGTCAAAAAGAATCTGTAGCTACTGACTGTCGTCTTCCTTGTATCACTGTCTTGTTCATGTAAAACAAAGGTACTTCCAAAGACAGCTTTCAAACTGGAACACTTCAAACAATGTAATACGATCAATCTATCTTCAATATTTCAAATTACTATATTTTCAGTTAGAGTTTTGAAGATTGTGTTTTTACACATTTTAAAACATCAGTCAATCATTGTTAGATCACCATGAGAAACCTGGAAGCACTGCAGGACGGCCACTTCGTCCTCATACGTGACTCGTCAGCAGTGCGCAACCACGACTACTGCACCTCGCAGGACTCGAACCCGGGGCCTTCGGTATTGTGTGAGAACGCTTAACCATCGGATCACTGTGATGAAATTCAACGATGTTAATGTCTAACTCTGATTGGTCTAAGGGTTTCTCCGGCTCAATGGTGGTTAGGCGTTTGCGCACAATATCGAAGGACCCGGGTTCTAATCCTGCGAGGTGCAGGAGTCGTGGATGCGCACTGCCACTGATGAGTCCCATATCAGGACGAAACGGCCGTCCTGCAGTGCTTCCAGGTTTCTAATAATGGTGGTCTAACAATGATCGATTGATGATTTCAAATTACTATCGACTTTATGATGTTTATACCGATAACCGGTATGAAATCAGTTGTTATTATATTTGTTATACAGTATACTGTAATTGAAAATATTCAATTATCAACTTACTGAATAATAATATGATGGTGCACGAAACAATACATGAAATGATAATGCAAATGCAATGAAAACCACTGAAAATACAATTAAACATTTGCCAACTGTTGCAAATACATGCAAAAACATCACTACAAATATTCCAATATGTTTAAATCTAAGGTAGAGAGAAAAAGAAAGCAAATACATTTTGAAAAAAAAAGTTAAAACAAACAAGTGTAGAGTTCATTAGATGTGCGCAAATGTATACCAGCTCAGTGGTTTAGAAGTTAGGTGGTTTGCACGCATGACCTACGGGGTTCGAATTCTGCAAGGTGCAGCCGTCGTGGATTTGCACTACCACTGATGAGTAGTCTCATACCAGGACAAAACGGCCCTAAAAAAACAGTGCTTCCAGGTCTCTAACGGTATTGGTCTACCGTTGATCGATTCATGATTTCAAATGTGTAACTTAACAATCTTTACAACTCCATAATGACATGTATGAATGATTTATCTAAACACTTTATAAAGAACTTTACAGATTATTGATCGTACTGCAAATTGGAAACTGGATATGATGCGAACGTTCTGCAGATTGTTGAGTTTCTTTGAAATCATCAACTGATCAATGTTAGATTACTTGTGGATACCTGGAAGTACTGGATGGCTGTTTCTTCCTAGTATGGAACTCATCAATGTACATCCACGAGATGATATATACTCATTAATGATTAGTTTTGTGAGAAAATTTTTGAAGTTCCAGTGGAGTTTGACCGTGTGAAGCAGTTAAATATGAATGGATGAAAGCTTAGGCGTCCACACGGGACACTGAATAACATGGGTTTGATTTCCATATGCGGTGGTCGCGGATGCGCACTACTGCTGAGTCCCATACTAGAACGAAACGGCCATCCACTGCTTTTATGTGGTCTGAAAATGATCGAATCATGATTTGAATGAATCTTAACAATCTACACAACCATATAACTGAAGACACATATTGTGATTAAAGCTAGCAATGGAATCTGGTAGAACAAATGTTTTGTATTATTTAAAACCAGTAAACAGAAATGTATTTACATGTTAGTATTGAAGTTCATCATGAAACTTGAATCAATTACCCTTAGCTTCAAATATCGTCACGTTTTATCCTCAATCTAGATAACCATGAGATTATGAGATGTGTCTCAATTCGGTTGGCAAAAGTTTGGTTTATTTTCTGGTGTTTTTATGCTAAGTAACTCAGTGAAATGAAAGGTGCTAGTTGCAGAGTTCGTTGTAAGCATCAACACTGAGATGCAAGTATAGTTAGCTAACGTGTCTCATATGGAACAAAACTAGCATCTGGGATTCTATAGCTATCTCTCAAATCATTCAGTCAATCAAAATGTAAGACGACATGTCCATATCGATATTTTCTGGAGTGTATTTACATATTATTCACAATGATTGATAAAAATCCAGTCATAAGTACCAACAATGGGATAATTTCAACTCCTACTAATATTCTTGAAACTAATATGAGTTCATCTTACTCGGTAAACGGAACAAAGATCAACGATACAGTGACACAATAGGCTACTCAAATCCGATTGCCCCTGGCCCCGCAAACTAGATCAAGAAGTCGTAAAAAGGCGTAGAGAATGTATTCTACAAGCACTCAGAAAATACGAGGTGGCTAAGCAAACAATTCAAGCTTACTTGTACAATGATAGGGATCTAACTTCACCAACACCTACTTATGATAATTATAAGGGATACTGTTTCCAGTTCATGTATTCACAAACTCCCCTTACTCAATACCTACTTATGGATGGACTAGGCATTTTACAATGTGATGTAGTCGAGTATGTTTGTACATAATCTGCGTATGATTGAAATAAATCATAAGTCGAGACTACTTACTGTGTTCTAGACTCAAAAGGTAGATCAAGATAAAGCGGCTGTCGAGTAGAAAGACCAGCCCGAACTTAAGTGTAACTCAAGGCTAATAATCATGCTTGAAATGCTATTGGTTAGTTTAGGGACAAGGTCAAATAAATCAACATTCTGATTGGTGGCTTTCTGGCATGATATCAATAAGCAGCCAATCAATCAATAACAATGATTATATTGATTTAAATGTGTATTTTTCCGAAACATTAATTAACTTTAAACACAGAATGAATGAAATGACTTCAATTTACCTCATCATTTGTAGTAGAAAATTAAACCATGCCAAAAACATAACAACCACACCTAATTCAACATAATGATGATTCACATGATTTTTTAATGTCATCGTTGAATAAGTCATAGCTAATACATCCAATACAAATCCTAAATAATTATTCCAATCTTTGAAATATTCATATTTCTGTGATGATTTTTGAAAAAAAGAGAACATGAAAAATTATATGATAACATAAATTAGGACGGATTTATCGGATAGTAAGCGTATTAAAATACCAATTGAGCTAACCAATCAGAGCTAAGAAAACTCTCCATCATATAATGAACCAATCAGAAGTGGATAAATGAGAAGGTTGCTTTCTGACCTTCCGGAAATGTCCTGAAGGACGAATACGTATCATTGGTCAAGAAGTAGCTTTATTTTCTAAGGAGGTATATATATATGTACATGATCTGGTCTCATTTGATGACAAAAACTATGTGAGGTGATAACCCTTTTTCAAACGACTAGTCCAACTTTTAATAAATCGACTTATTCCTTTCGCTGCATTAGAAGAAAAGATGTAATATGTGAGAATTGATCATCGAGATCGAAGCTATCATTCCACTGACATTTTATAGCCTTTAACTGTTGATTAATTTGAAATTAAACACCTTCTTTTGATTATATGAGAGGTCTTTCAAGTTCGTCAGTATGTTATATTTTGACCAGTGTAAATGTTATACTTGATAATTGATATGCTTGAACGCTATTACGAGTTCACCTTAGTCGGTAAACGAAAGCTAGTACAAATGATTCATTGACGCGATAGGCTACTATAATCCGAGAGTTCCTAGCCCCCAATAACGGTATCAAAAAGTCTTGATATGGCGAAGGAAGTGTATTCTACAAGCACCCAGAAAATATGAGCTTTTGTACAGAGTTAGAAGAGGAGCATATAACTTCATAGTTAAGTTAACCGTGAATACCGACCAATAGAAAACAGCATTTAACAGTATGTGACCTTGATAGTTTAGGACGACCTTAAATATTGACCAATAGAATAAGACTTACAAAATAACTCCTTAAGGATATTGGACAAATAACCTAACAGTAACTACAATTGATTACTGACAAGTCACCTAGTGTTCAATGGTTTCAACGTTCACTGCTAGGCAAATTATTGGTGAATTTTTAATTCAAATTAACCAACAAAATAAAATGTTCATTACTTGTGAGAATAATTGCCACATTTTTATGTTTAAATCCAAAGTTGTCAGAACTAAGATGATTGCAGCAACCGTGGAAAATATATACATTCTTGTCGGGGTTTCATATAACTAAATGACATAAATAATCGAGGTAAAAGATCAAAATATTAACTAACTATTGTGTAAACAAATAAGTTATTTACGGTAATAATCATGTTGTTATTCAACATAACTTACTGTACAAAATTGTCTCATAATAGCATACACCAATAATCTTTTAGGTAATTCTAGTGTCTTATTGAAATCAGGAATCGATCATTGTTTGAGTACCATTAGAAATTTGGATGCATTGGACGACTGTTTTGACCTTGTATGAGACTTATCAGCAGTCTGCACCCACGATAGCAGTTCATGAGACTGAATTCCATGGTGTTCGGTCACTAGTAAGCTATAATGACTAGCTTTGAGCTGAAATTCTCGGAGTTCTAGTAAGAAGTCGTGAACAGTGGAGTTCAACCATGTCAGGTGTGAGGCAGTTACTAATCAGAGATATCGGATGAGGTTGCATAATACTGTATATTGATTGAAGTGAAACATTAACACTGTTGGATATAGGTTCAGTGGTGTAGAGATTAAGAGTATGTGCGTTTTATCGATAGTCCTGGCTTTGATTCCCGTTTAAGTAGGTTGTGAGTGAGAACTGCTGATGAGTCACACACTAAGACACAAACAGTTGTACAGTGCTTTCAGGTTTCTAATAGTGGTCGAACAGTAACAGAATCATGATTTCAATGAATCTGACCAATCTTCACAACCCTATAATGAAATTGTGTAAAAATAGTTATGCTGTATAATTGTAGGCTTGTTTGAATGTAATGTGAACACAAGACAAGGCGCTACATATGAAAATAAAGCATTAATCCAAATCTAGTTCATGTAAAGAAAAATGGGAGTATTTTTAGAGTGATACAAGACCTTGAACCTCTGGAAGTTTCGAAACTCTTACTGAATGCAGTAACGCTATCGTTAACTATCCATTCTGAATCTTCTTATGTCATTCTGAATTTCCTAAATGTCTCTGTGAAGGTTTTATTCAATACCGATTGAATAAAATTTCTCCTAGTGTTTCTAGACCTTTAGAGATGTTTTTCAGAAATATTGTGGAATTCCATAACTCTGGCGTACAATAAAAGAAACTGTTTTAATTTTTTTGTTGTCAGGTTTTTTCGGTAAAATAAGGACTAAACTTCAATAAGTGAGGAACATCTGGAACTGAAAAAGAAATTATCAGTCAACACCAAAGGCACAATTTTCAGTACAAATGTCAAGACATTTCCATTGTACACGGGAGGAAACTTTGAGAAACACGGAAGCCATCATCAAAAGGACACAATTAAAAGATATCTACTCAGAATACTTCAGATCTTCTGACCCGACACTGTCAGTAACGGCCTACTGTGGGAGAGAACTAATTAGGTTCCGACTGAGGAAGAAGTGCCGGCGATGGATAGGACATATATTGAGGAAACCAGCGAACTGCGTCACAAGACAAGCTCTCACCTGAACTCCTCAAAGTCAAGTAAAAACAGACAAACCAAAGGTCTCCTTGGGAACAAACATGAAAAGAATGAACAGCGACTTGGTATAACTATAGAGCAAGGCTGAGGACAGAGTAGGTTTGAGAATACTGGTCACAGGCATATGCTATATTAGAGGTGAGAGGAGTAAGTAAGTAAATAAGTCAATAAGTAGTCAAGTAAGTGACTAGGTAAGTAAGTAAGTTAGTTAGTTAGTTAGTCTGAAAAATTCAATACACATTCTTCAGGTGTCAGTTGGAGTTTTGAAACAATACAGTGCTCACTAGTGACTAGCTTCTTCGTGAGGAAATTTTCGGAGTTCTAGTTGAGAAGACGTGACCAATGGAGTTCAACCCTGTCAGGTGTAGGCAGTAACTACCAAAGACAAATGGGTGAGGTTGCGCAAAATACCTAGATCAATCAGAGTTAGACATTAACACCATTGGATGCCTGTCCAGTGGTCTGATGGTTAGGCGTTCGCGCACAATACCGAAGGTCCCAGGTTCTAATCCTGTGAGGTGCAGGAGTCGTGGATGCGCACTGCCACTGATGAGTTCCATGTGAGGACGAAACGGCTGGCCAGTGCTTCCAGGTTTCGAATAACGGTGGTCTAACAATGATTGATTGATGATTTGAAATGTGTAAAAAAAACACAAATCTCCAAAACTCTAACCGAAAAAACAATACAATTTGTAAATTAACAACAAATTTCACTTACCAAATCAGAACAAACTGAAATTTTTTCAATATTTTCCACATGACGTACTGGACTATGCCCCAAAACCAAACATGTAATTGCCAACAATAAAACAGCATAATAAATACTTACACATAATTGTACCCAACGTCCATAGGTTTGCCTTTAGATGAAGAAAAGTATATCAATAATCCATTTTATGTTGGAATAAAATGAGTAAGCTTCCCAAAGGAATGAAACATTTGAGTTTAGTCATAGGTGCACTGGTGCGTTATCTTTTTTTCTACATCATGGCAGTTCAAACTCCAGACCAATGAAAGGGTATTCACTGGTGTTAATGTCTAACTTTGGTTAATCCATGATGTTGTGTAACCTTCATTCATTGCCTGTGGATGATAACTCTCTCCTATATGACAAGGATTCAACTCCATGGTTCATGGCTTTTCACAACAACCCCATGAATACATTATGAAGGCAATAATGGATTGATTGAAGTTGAATATTGACACTATTGGATGAGGTTAAGTAATCGCTCGTGAGACAGATGGTCTCGGGTTCGATTCCCGTGTGTGTGGGTGGTGGATGCACAGTGGTGAGAAGTTCCATAGTTGGACGAAAAAGATGAGATGAGTGCTGTATTCACATTTCTTTTAATTAAATAATAGCTAGAGGTTAGGCGCTGTCGCCCTAGACTGAATGTCCTGGGTTCAAATCTTGCAAGTAGAAGGAGTTGTGGATGCGCACTGCTGATGAGTCTCATACTAGAACGAACAGGGCCGTCTAAACAATGCTTCCAGATTTTTGATGGTTGTCTAACAATCATTGATTCATAATTTCGAGCTGAAATATGTTACGCTCGTCACTGGGAATACTTAAATTATTACAAGTTCACCTTAGACAAATAACGAAAACAAACAATGAACCAGAGTCCAGGCATGCTGCTGTGATCCCTTGACCGAATTGTATCAGCAAGAAGTCTTGATATAGTGTAGAAATTGTATTCTACAAACACCCAGCAAGCACACAATGAATCCAAGCACTCGAACTGCGTTTATTTATACTCTATGGAGACGTCCTTAGGACAGTCACAAAATAGCACACTAAAATGAGACAAGAACCAGTCACATTCAAGGATTTTTCTTGGTGGGAAATGTAATCTCAAGGTCAACTGATCGGTCCATGAAATGAATCCAAAATAAAGATATTTATCAAGCGAGTTCTGGGGATCTAATATCCCCAAAAAATTGACTAAAAAAACCATTATTCATATTCATTTTTAAAGTTTAGTCGAATATAAGCGAATTTGTTTTGATATGTATTTGAAATTATTCTCAAAAATAAAATTAGTATATCGTTTGAGAAGATTGGCGAACATTAGGCACGTCCATGAGTAGGCTTCCAGTTAAATGAAGATACCAAGTACCTTATCGCTACTCCAATTTGAATGGAAAAGTTCGCTGAATTTAAATAACTAGTTGATAATATGTGATTATTCTCTGATAAACTGTAAGAATATTCATCCAATATCCTAAGAGAAATATTGGTCAATTTCTGTTGGCTAATTCCTACTGGTCAATTTTATGGTCGTCCTAGATATCAATGTCACGTGCTCTAATGTTGTTTCATATTGTTCGTCGTTTCTGTTAATGTCACTTCATATGTTGTTTCCTATTGGTCGCCTTAACTGTCAATGTCACAGACTTCGATGCTGTTTCCTATTCGACCTGACTGTATAAATACGCACTGTCTGTAACGCTGTATGGCCATGACCCGGTCCCGGATCCCTAGTCCAGGATGCTCAGCCTCTTCTGGACTCGGACCTTGTACATTCTGGATTCTTGTAGAATACACGTTCTACTTCACATCAAGTCTTCTTCTTTCACCTAATGGGGGTTTGGCACAATCGGATTAGAGTAGCATGTTGTGTCGCTGCATCCTCGATCCTAGCTCTCGTTTTCCGACTAAGGGGTAAACTCGTAATAGTTCAAGCATGTCAAATTGACGTGTTTACGTGCATCCGTAACATAAACCATTTATCAAGTATACATATCCAGCATTAAGAATATGAGTAAGTACATTTTTACAAAATGTAAACGTGATACCATGATCGGACATCGATAAATTCTAATCGCTAATCCAATCCTTCGGAAAAGAAAGTCATTTCTTAGCCAATGATATTCATTTGGTGTTTAGGACTTTAAGAAACATAATACTCAGATATTTTTTATTTGAAAATGTTAATGAAATGTTTTTCAGAAATGAATTTCAATATAAAACCATTTCAAGTGAATCGATTATTTACCAAAAACACTAAGAATATTTAACTTGTCATATTTTTATTACTAAATAATTGAATCGGTCTCACACTTCATAACATAAGATCTTGGTTAATGATGATTCATCATTGTACTAAAAAACAGATCAGTAGAGTTCAACCTTGTAGAAGGTGTAGGAAGTGACCTGTTGAACACAATGAGTGAGGTTGCGCTTAACTTTGAATTCACTAAGGTTAGACATTAACACTGTTTCATACCGACTCATTGGTTTACAAGATAAGCATTCGTGCACAAGATTGAATGTTGGTTAACGGCTTGTAAGGTCATGGATGCGCACTACTGAAACCACGACTACTGAAACCATTTGGAATAGGTGTGGCACACAAACCGACAGAATCACTTCAATCAATCCTATCTAGACCAAAGGACAAAATGACAAAGGAAGAAAGACCAAATATCACCTACAAAATAAATTGCTCAGACTGTGAAAAACACTACATAGGACAAAGTGGACGACCTTTTTAGCGTCGTTTACGTGAACAGCAATCAGCAGTCAAATGCCACGAAAAAGCTTCGCTTATATCAATACATACCGTCAATTATGGACAAACATTTGATTGGAACAATGTGGAAATACTGGATAAGAGTAGCACAAAGAACACTAGGGAATTTTTAGAAGCTTGGCACTTAGGTCAATCAGCAATTAACAAACTCATCGATATTGACCCAATTGTTCAACTTTTCAGGAAAATCATAGGTGACATAGGATCAAGAAACAGTTCAAAAGGAGGATACAATTAAAATAAAGGTGCAAACAACGACAGGTCAAAGATCAACAGCGACCAATCAAGATCGAGGTTAACAGAACAAGCTACAGGTCAGACATGGAGAAATTCTAATGCTTCACTTCTATCTGAAGTTTGTACTGATGATGTTGTTCAGATGGAGAACAATGAAAGCTCCACAACCGAAACACCCAGCTCAGAGAACCAAATACCATCACCACAATTCTCATAACTCTGTAAAGAATAAAAGCGATTCTTTGAAAACAAATGTCAATATTGCAAGGAAATCATGAATCGATCATCGGTATACTACCGTTAGAAAAACACAAACACTGGCCGGCTGTCTCGTTCTAATATAGCACGCTTGCGTGAATCGAACCCTGGACCTTCGGTCACGTGTGCGAACGCTTAACTTCCAGACCATTGAGCGGGAATCCAACAGTGTTAATTATCTAATTTGAATTGAAGTAAACCAAAGTGTATCAATGAAAAGTAATTATCTTTAGACAATCAATTTGTCCCACTCTCACAGTCAGAAAGTCAATCAGTCAGTTGCAACGTAGAACTTCGTACGTATGTACACAAGTTCATGTTGCCATACCATATTAGCACAGAGACGCAAATGTCAAATCAAATCCCATAGTGATAAAGATAGTAGAGGTATTAATGGTAATGAGGAAGATTAGGGTTCGAAGATATTATTCAAGAAATATAATTCAGTGAGATAAGGTTAGAAAGACAAAGGTAGAGGTACTGACGAATCCAGAAGACTAGGATTTGAGAGAGCTCAAAGAATGGATGCACGATTTTGAGCCATGTCATTCAAGGTCTCTAACCATTGATGACTTTCGTCTCGCGGACCCCAACCAGGTAGTCTACATCTACCGACATGACTCAGTCCACTAGTCAGTGACTTCATGGATTTGTGCCATGTTTTGATCTGGACGCCCCTAACTTTCTTCCAACCTACTCCTACACCACAAAACATAGCTCATCGAGGCAGTCGGTGGTTAGGCATACGCAGCACATGTCATAACCACCTCAACTGATAAAGTTTCAATACTTCATCTATTGATCTGCCATCCTTACCTAGCACCCGTTTCCTAACGACAGCATTGCTTACTCTCTCTCTCTCACACACACACACACAGATGTGCACTATCAAATGTGAACTTTCAAATCTTATCATCTCACATTGTATATTAATGAGTGAGTGTTGGTCAACATTGAGATGAAATACAGTTCTGTTTACAATTAAAGTCATATTTAAAAACAATTCCAAAATTCATTCTCTAATCATTATTAAAAAAAAAATAATACTCATTCATTTGGATTACCATTTCCGTTCTAAATATGCTTTACACAGAGGATGAATCAATAAATCTTCACGTTTCAATTCGACCATTAACTAATAAAAAATGGAAGAAAAATAATGGAAACATGATGTTATGAGAGGGTAAAGTTTCTCTGTTTTGTTCAAATATATATGTTGTAGTGAAGGAGAACACTAGGTGAGGGCAACCGAATTGTATTTATTGCAAATTACAGAGTTACTCAGTAAAATAGGAAAACCATATCGTAAACCGTTAATTTGTAAAACATCAATCCATTGTCTGACATTTCACTCACTATTCATGCGTTTCATACAAATTCCATTGTGTTCCCACTCTTCCTTTCTTGATCTTCCCTCATCTTCTTCTGCTGCCAGACATTACGTTGAAACTCGCGTCATATACTACTTATAAGTAGCGCGCACCACAATGTACATATACAAACCAATTCCAGTTGAGGAATAAATCAGGAAAAAGCTCTGGAGGTAGATAGAACGCACATTGTGGAAATCTCTCAATTGTATAGCGAAGCAAACCCTAATTAGGAACCTTCAAGGACAAAGGAAAAGTGTTAGACCAAGGAATACAGTGTGTTGAGTTATGGAAATAAGCAGTCGGATAGAACTGGAAGGGAAAGACTCAGGACAGAATTGAGGTTTTCAGAACGCTGACCAGCAGCTACCTAATGTTCCATTTTGGAGGTATTAGGTGGAAGTCGCTCAAAATCCAACTGATTTTGTGATTAGTAATGTTGAGATTAAAAATAATTTAGAAGGTCTTAATGGGACCTTCTTCGGAATAATTAAAACATCTACACATAAGATATGACTACTTAGTTTCATCATATGGTCAAAAAATTTATGTAAGCGATAAGCAATTTGTAATTTTTATAAACACTTCTCACATAAACGATAGCAATAATCAAAAACTGAAATTTGCATGAATAAGGTTGAGTAGATCATTAAGTTACTTTTCGAAATCATGAATCGATCAGAAACAGAATCACTGGACGGCGATTTCATCCTGGTATCAAACTCATCAGCTATGCGCATCCATGACTCATGCTACTCGCAGGGTTCGAACCCAAGACCTTCGGCCTTCCGTGCAAACCTCGGTACCACTGGGCTGGAATCCAACGATATTATTGTCTAACTCTGATTGATCTAGGAGTTTTTCAAGATCCATTTGTCTTTGGTAGGTATTGCCTACACCCGACAGGTTTGAACAGAACTGGAAAAGATGACCTAGGACAATGTTAGTTGAATAACGCTAGTCAGCGGTCTATGCTCCATTGAGGGTTAACAGGCGCAAGTAAGCAAGTTAGTAATTGTACGCTGAATTTTTTATGGTAGTTTCTTTATTATACATACTTGTGTCATTGTTCGTAACTTTTGGCCAAACTTCAGTAGGTTAGGCAACATGGCACCTTCATTACATAAACATCTTAAATGCATTTCCTGGTAATTCTACGCTTGTACGTCTCATATATGTGTTATTTCATCTAACTCCTGTCTATTTGCCTCAATAATCACAATCTATTTTGAGTTATATGAACGCCTATGATCAACAGTATTTTGTATAGGCATGCTTCTCAAGTTTCCATCAGAAAAAATCTTCGTCGTTATTGAACAAAATTTGTCGTCAAAACGTCTACAATCGAAATATGATCTATATTTCGTCATACATTATTAAAGATTCGATTTATATTGGAGTTAATTGATGAACATCTAAAGGATGAATATCAGTACAGGTGGATATTGGCTAATTCCACCTGGAGCTCTTCTAGGGTTACTATCGGTCCGAAGCTCAGATATAAGGGAGGAAGGTTGTGCATAAGGTAAGCGACCCTATCGTGTAGAAATCCAACTCGATAAAAACAAAAACGCTAACCACTGATCGGCAGTCTATGATCTATTAAGGTTAAGTGCATAAGTAAGTAAGTAAGTAAGTAAGTAAGTAAGTAAGTAAGTAAGTAAGTAAGTAAGTAAGTAAGTAAGTAAGTAAGTAAGTAAGTAAGTAAGTAAGTAAGTAAGTAAGTAAGTAAGTAAGTAAATAAGGTATTGTTTAGAAGTGGAATCCATGACGAGCGTTTCGTTCTATTTAGGACTCGTCGACTGGATAGAATGATTATTGCGTTCTGGATTCCGTTGTTAACCTCTGTCCCCACCTTTGATGATAATACTTGTAATCGAAAGGGAATATGAAAATCATCCTGTACAAAATGTATGTATATATATACGCCAAATGAGACTGATCACATCCATAGAAATATTCCGACATAACCAATAGAAATGTTTTGTTAAACTGATAAGTAGTTCTCTATTTACAATATTATTTAATGGAACTTAAGTTTTGACTATTGAAAGTATTATTTTCAGTAAATGAATAAAGATTGACATTTGAAAACATGAAATAAGTTTCGCAACCTCATACACAGTCTTCGGTAGTTACTGTCTACTACACCCGAACAGGTAGAATTTGATTGGTCACAACTTCCCACTAAAACTCAGAAAAGATTCCTCACTGAGCTAGTCACTCACTAGTGAGCACAGGTAATTATTGCATTACAGGGTTGTGAAGATTGTTAAGTGACACATTTTTTGAAATCATAAACCAATCAATCAATCAAAGTTATATCACCATTCGATTGCAATTTTACCTTGATACGTTTCATTGGATTTTGTGGTGGTTTTTCACGAGGATTCATAGGTCGTTGAAGTATTGAAAAATCATAAAATATCTAGAGGGAAAAAAAATTCGAAACATTTTAGATTGATTTGAAATGTGTTATTTCATTGAAATCATGAATCGATCATTGTTGGACCATTATTCGAGATCTGAAAACACTGAACAACCGTTTTTTCTCTGTCAGCGGTGCACAAGGGAATAAAAACCCAGGATCTTTGGTCTCGTATAGGAATATTTAACCTCTAGGCGCCTGAGTCATCATCCATCGGCGTTAATATCTAACTTGAACAATCCGATCCACTATATGACATGACCATCATCTATTGTCTTCTTAGCAAGTCCGATCTCAATTTATTAAAGTTTTATATAAATTCACCATCAATCTACATGTGGTAAAATTTTACATTGGTTTTTGAAAGACAACGAGGGACACTGGCCACGTGTTGACACTACAACCTAAACAGTACAGCTCAGTCCAGTGGGTGGACCACCACACAGGTACCTGAAACCCTGTTGCTGAACCGTTCACACAATTTTATATGCTGAATTTTTTCTGATCAATGATCGTATCGTCGTCAGTCAATATACACAACATGAACAGGCCACCTTGAACCAACTCGGTTACATGACTGTCATAAACTCATCATTACTAGCAATGGTGATATGCAATACAGCGCTCCGTAATGACAATAGTCCTCTGGAATGTCGCAAAACAACCACCAGTAGTATCAATGAAATCGATCAGCCTGCTAACCAAATCCGTATATGGACTATCAGTAAAAAACGTGCCGAAATTAGAGCCAAACCATCTACACTGTTCATCATAACAAACCTCTAGTCTCACAGGGAAACCGTCAGCTCTTCTATGTGACAATTCAATCTACTTTACAGTTCATTCAAATTTGCATTATTACGATATTGCATTCATTCAACAGTTGATCAATGATCAAACTTTTCATTATCAATAAATTTTATTACCAAATTTTGAAAATACTCAAAAATAAAATATAATTTAACTACATTTTGAAAAAAACATCTTCCTGATAACGATTAGAAAAAAAGTGAAAAGATTCATAGAGGAGGATCAAAACATTGATTGAACATTGACAGTTTCAAAATGTCAATGTTGAATATTGATCAATGTTCAATGACTTATACTTACATTTTAGTCCGCAAAATGAATGTTTTTGTAGAGATGTGCAGTCAAAAAAGATATTAAAATATAGTCATTATGAGAAATTCTCCGATGCAACACAACATGCACCAACCAAATCACTCTTGATGGAGATGCCTTGGAGGACATTAACACATTTACATATCTTGGCAGCATCATCGACAATCAAGGTGGATCGGATGCAGATGTGAGGGCGCGAATCGGCAAAGCAAGGGCTGCATTTTTACAAGTGAACAACATTTTGAACTCCAAACAACTTTCAACCTAAACCAAAATCAGGATTTTCAATACAAATGTCAAGACAGTTCTACTGTATGGGTCGGAAACTTGGAGAAATACGAAAGCCATCATCCAGAAGATACAAGTGTTTATGAACAGTTGTCTACGCAAAATACTTCGGATTCGTAGGCCAGACACTATCAGCAAGAACTTACTATCGGAGAGAACAAACCAGATTCCAGTACAGGAGGAAATCAGGAAGAAGTGATGGAAGTGGTGGATAGGACACACACTGCGTAAAGCACCTAACTGCGTCACGAGACAAGCCCTCATATGGAACCCTCAAGGCGAAAGAAAACAGGAAGGCCAAGGAACACATTACGCCGAGAAATAGAGAAAGATATGAGAGGAATGAACAAACATTGAACAGAACTGGAGAGAGAAGCTCAGGACAGAGTTGGTTGGAGAAAACTGGTGAGCGGCCTATGCTCCATTGGGGGTAAATAGGCGTAAGTAAGTAAGTAGTAAGTATTATGAGAAATCAGTATCTTTCAAAAAAAACAAACTCGTAAAGTTATTGATATTTAAAAAAGCTTATCATCAAATGGACGACTTGAGTAAAATGTATAATACACTTTGTTGACTTACTTCATGATCAAGAGTATTCTTTGTACCGATTTCTTTGATACATTGATCTAAAACAAGCTGTTAATAAAAACAGTGAAGTAAGAAAGAAAATCACGAACCTTTTGGACAAAAAAAATCTTAATTTTTTCACAGCATTTTGTGTCAAGACATGAATCGATCAATGTTAAGTCACCACATTAGAAACTTGGAGGCACTGAATGGTCATTTCCGCCTACGATAGGACTTTTCAGCATTGTGCATTCACGATAATTGCTCGCAGGAATCGGTCCCTAGACATTTGGCGTTACGTTGCGAATACTCAAACTCTAGACCATTGAGTTGGCATTAACCTGATTTCTATTCATAGATGTCAGTTGATCACGAATTACATACTTACGCCTGTTATCACTAATGGGGGGTAGGCTACCGACTAGCATTCTCCAAGCTACTCTATCTTGTGCCTTCGTTTCCAGTTCTACCCGGTTTCTGTTCGTTTTCTTTTTGTGTCTGCCTACGATACTCGGCACAGCGGGTTCCTTGATCTAGCTTGTTTCCTTCATCCTTGGGGATTCCAAGTTAGGGCTTGCCTCGTAGTGCAGTTGGGTAATTTTCACAAGGTGTGTCCTATCCACCATTAGCAATAATTAGTAATTTCTTTCTCAGTTGAAGAAATCTAGTCCGTTTTCTCCTACAGTAGTAGGTTGTTCCTGATGGTTTCTGGCCAACGGATTCTTAGTATCTTGCGTTAATAACTGATCATTAAATATATACACCTTATTAGAACTTACTTAAAATAGTCAATGAGATTATTTAGTTACATAGTTTGTTTTAACTCACAAAATAGATCTTATTTTCATTTATTGTTATGAATTCTTCACGTGACCACGTCATTTGATACGCTTGAAACTATAACGAGTTCACCTTATTTGGTAAACGATAGCGAAGACAAATGGTCTAGTGACACTGTAGGCTACTCTAATCCTAAGGCCCCAATAAGTAGATGATGAAGGCTTGATATGGCGTAGAAAGTGTATTTTACAAGCACCCAGAAAAACATGAGATTGACAAGCACACAAATCGAGTTTATTTATACATAATAGAAACGTCCTTGGGAGAGCTACACAGGTAGCGTACTAAGATAATACATCAACCAATAACAGTTACAGATTTTGCTGATAGGAAATGTAATCTCAAGGTCAACTGATTATCCCATGCCCGACAACATAAAATCTAAAATTAGGACCTTCATCAATGTTGGGGATGTTAGATCCCCAGAACTCGCTTGATAAATATCTTTATGTCATGGACGGATCAGTTGACCTTGACATCACATTTCCCACCAAGAAAAATCCTTGGCTGTGATTGGTTACTGTGTCATTTTGGTGTGCTATTTTTGCGACTGTCCTAAGGACATCTCTATATAGAGTATAAATAAACGCAATTTGAGTACTTGGATTCATTGTGTACTGGCTGGGTGTTTGTAGAATACAATTTCTACACTATATCAAGACCTCTTACTGATACAATTTGGTGAAGGGATGGTTCATTATTTTGTTCTCGTTATTCGTCTAAGGTGAACTCGTAATAGTTTTAAGCATACCTAGAAACGAGCGTACCAATCAAGTGAGTTCTAGGGATCTAACGTCCTCAACACTGTTCGAAGCACTGATTGCGTATAGGGTTACCGTATAAAACTAACTTGCTAAAAACAACGCTAACCAGAACAAATAATTCACACTAATTAAACTCTATCCTAGGCGTTGGAAGGTCATCATTTGGAAGAGTTATGTCACTTCATAGTTGAAAGCTGAATCTTTTGAAAAGCCACAAGGCCAATACCTCTTCAGACAATCAGAGCAACAATCAATAAAATACATTTTAGAAAAAAACTACATAATATATAAATTACTTTGCACATCGATGGCATATTTCGAATAAATCCATCTACTGGACATTGAGGTGTGTTATCTAACATTCCATGTAGTTCTGGCCAACTAAACAAAAAATGATACAAAGTGAGTTAAGAAATTATTTCATTTTAGGAAATAAGAAAGAGAGGCATTGAATCATTGCTGAATAGTATGAGTAAGGAGAATAGAAGGCTTTATTGTTGCTAGTATATTACAAAACTGCTGATGAGTCGTCCCATATCAGGACCAAACGGCCGTCTAAATAGTGCTTCCAGGTTTCTGACTCCTCAAAGACACCTTCTAAGGTTACTGTCGGTCTGAAGCCAGAGTAAAGGAGGAGCATTGGGCATGAGGCTAGCGACCGCATGCCGTAGAAATTCAACTCTCTAAAAAAACGCCAACCAGAAAAGTTGTTCGCTGGTTGGTAGCTTATGCTCCATTAGGGGTAACAGGCGTAAGTAAGTAAATAAGTATGTAAGTGCATTAGTGCATAAGTAAATAAGTGCATAAGTAAGTAAGTGCATAATTAAGTAAGTAAGTGCATAAGTAAGTAAGTAAGTAGGTAGGTAAGTAAGTGCATAAGTGCATAAGTAAGCAAGTGGAATAAAAAAGTTCTGAATATGGAGAGAGGATTCGATTATATACCGCACATAATCGATAGAGGTTGCACAAGATTGGGGATTGATTGACTCAATTGTCTAGAGGTTAAACGTTCACACATGAGACTGATAGTCCTGAATTCAGGTCCCATATGCGTGGATCGAGAAAAAAAATTGTTTTCATTGCTGAAAACATGAACTGATGAAAATTAGGCCATCAATCTAAACTTGGATGTACTGGACAACTGTTTTGTCCTAGCACGGGACTTATCAGCATTGTGCATCTACAACCAACGCTCGAAGGGATCGAACCTGAAACTGTCGATCTCACGCGTGGACGTTCGAATTCCAAACCATTGAGATGGCATTCATTGGCGTCAATGTCTAACTTCAATCAATCCATGATGTGGCGTAACATTCATCCATTGCTGGCGGATGATAACTCTCCACGACCTGACAAGGATTGAACTCCATCGTTCATCGCTTCTCTCAACAACCCCATGATGAATACAATAAAGGTAGACATTAACACTATTGGACCACCACGACTCAGTGGTCTAAAGGTTAAACTTTCACTCATGGACAGCCGACAGTCTTGGGTTCAAGTCCCATGTGCATGGGTCATGGACGCGCACAACTACTAAGAAGTCGCACACAAGAATCAAACCGTAATCCAATACTTACAGATTTCTAGTGATGGTCATCTAGTTTAGATCCGTTTCTATGATTTCACCTATTCATATGAAATAATCATTTATTACAAACTGTGTACTAACCGTGCATGTGCTACAATCGCTTTCATTGTTTCATAATTTCTACGTTGTAATGCATAAGTCACAAAATAGGTACCATCTTTATCTGGTAGAATTTTTGCTCTCGAAGTCAATAAATAATCCACTACTTCAACATTATTCTCTTTAGCAGCATAATGTAATGCAGTCATCTAGATTAACAAAATGAATAGACACAAACAATTACGTAATTACAAATTACAGATCAATGTGAATTCATGAATCGATCAATGTTAGACCACCATTAGAAACCTGGAAGCACTGGATGGCCGTTTCGTCCTGGTATAGGACTCCTCAGCAGTGCGCATCCACGACTCCTGCATCCCGCAGGATTCGAACCCAGGACCTTCGGTATTGTGCGCGAACGCAGGAGTCCCATACCAGGACGAAACGGCCGTCCAGTGCTTCCAGGTTTCTAATGGTGGTCTAACATTGATCGATTCATGGTTTCAAAAATGTGTAACTTACCCATCTTCACAGCCCTGTAATGACAATGTGAATTCATCAAAACGAAAAAGAAATTGTAGTGCCTCCACCTGTATTCCAGTTCGCTTACATTTAATTTGGTTAAGCCCTTTCGATTAATTTATTTACCCAGGCCATTTGTGTATTGCAACAATTTATATGTTGTACCATTCGTTCTTATTATTTTCTGGTTTGTATGAGCGGACATGACGTGTCCCACTGGTCATTTGACCTTGTCAACTATTCGTCGCTTTTATTCATGTGTGCCTATTTCGCCTGTTGCATGTCTGTCTTATATTTGTCTGACTACATATTCTTAGTCATGTTCTGTCTCTTGGAATTGGCTCATTAGCCTTCTCCAACGCGCTTCACCTGTTCATTCGCTTCCTTCGCCCATTTGTTCGCATTGTAATCCTGGGAGTTGGCTCAACAGCCTTCTCCAATTCACGTCGCTTCATTCATTTTATTCGCTGCTTCTCTCCGATTCGCTTTGTGGTGTGTCCAAAAATAAACGTATTCAACACTACGAGTTTACCTTCTGATTTATAAACCGTCAGACGCTATTTAGTAACGATTGTCTGGACGAACTAATTACAGAGCTTAAGAACACGCAATAAATCGACACTGAAATCGTTCGATCGATTGTTGTTGGACCAGCATGCGAAACCTGGAAGGAAATTCCCAGCTGCTTGAACAAGATCGCGTATTGGTTTTGAGTTAGACATTACCATAGTTGGATATTGAATTAGTAGTTTAGAGGTTAAGCGTCTGCTAGCGAACCTGAAGGTCATGGGTTTGATTCCCGCCACCGGGGGTCGCGGTTTTAAGCTGTTGGTGAGTCCCATGCTAGGACAAGGTGGCCGTCTGGTGCATGTAGGTTTCTAATGGTGTTCTAACATTGATCAGCTCATAATTGCGATGAAACCTAACAAACTCCACAACTCTATATTGAAAAATAGATGACGCAAAGATTAGTAGTTTATACACCAAAGAAAATCCTAACATTTATATATTGATAATAGTAAGTTAACATTGATGAATTTCAGGTGGATAGATTCAGGGATACTATCTCCAAATTGGGTCTTATACAGTTGAAAAATGAAAATTTCGCAACTGCGAAAAAATCATTACCCGACATGAGACAAAGGATAATATAAGAGTGTTTGAGCCCATTCACATCAATCTGAGCTGCATCTCTTGCTATCCTATACCATACAATGCGTATACCATAAGCTGTATTGTTATGTAGAGCTGAATGTGTTTCCTATGAGACCAGAGGTTCGTTGTGATGAACACTGTGAATGGCTTGGCATTACTGTGGTCAAGTTTAGCTAATAGTCCATATACAAAATTGGTTAACAGGGCGACCGATTTCATTGAAAAAACTGGTGATTGTCTTGCAACATTCTTTAAGGCAATTGTCATTAGGACCTCTGCAGTGCAATCACTATAGCTAAAAATAATGAGCTAGTGACACTCATGTAAATGAGATGGGTCGAATCGGCCTGTTCATCCTGTGCATATTGATTGACAACGCAATCACGGATCGTTATCCCGTATCACTTGAGGGTGAATTTATATAATTGTGATTGTGGGTGAACGTTAAATCCCCAAAAGATTGCTTGGTAATTCTCTTATATTTGTATTTTATTTTTGAAAATTTTTGAGCCTCTTTTTTTACCTTCAGTTGATGTTTTTCACTTAGAAGGATCTTAAACCTCATTGCTTGGTTTTGTCATTTAGTACGCTATTTTGTGAAACTTCTAGCTGGCTTTGGATGTTTCGTCCCAGTTAATTGATCTGCGCTACAGTGGATAGATAAGCTGTCCTGTTGTCGTGTCACTAGTTCTCACGTCCCATTCACTGATATCTAGACGTATCCTAATTAGCACAAGCATAGTAAATCAACTCATAAATCAATATGTATTGCTGTTTTCAGCCGTTCTTAATACTTTAGAATTGTCGGTTTCGTGGGCAAATGCTTAACTGCTAGACAACTGAGTAGTCAACAATCTCCATAACCCTATAGTTACAATTATGATATACCGACTAATGACAGATTTCATGAGAAAATTCTTGAAGTTCTAGTGGAAAGAGTTGAACAGTGGATTTCAACCATCTCAGGTGTGAGGTAGTTATCAACTCAAGATAATGGATAATGGTCTCGTAATGTCGCGCGTTAATTTAAGTTAGACATTAAAAGCGCTGAAAACCAGCTCAATGGTCATAAGTCTACTCTTTCATGATGGAAATCAACTGTCCTGAGTTCGACTTCCTGTATGTGGGTCGGGGATGTGTACTACTGATGAGTCCCAAACCAGTATGAAATATCCATCCAGTGCTTTCAGTTCATGATTTCATTGGAACACACAATCCTTACTCTAATGCTTTAAACAAAATTCACATCAGCATCATTATAACACGGACATGACTGTCACAGAGCACAGTCAATTCCTATCTGCCATATTGAACAATACAAAACATATTTATCTAAAAAAGTATGTCACATTGCGAAAAAAATGTAAACACATAAACATACTACTCACTAATAAATTAAGTAGTAAATTTAGAAAAAACGAAACGATATCATAAATACTTACTCCATGAAAATTTATTTGATTTAACAATGATGGACTTGATTGTAACAATAATTTACATGTTTTTAAACAACCCCCAATCGAAACATAATGTAATGGTGTATTACCAATATGACATCTAAATACAAAATATAATAGAAATTTTGTTATTTTGTAGGAAAATAAACTCGAAACAAGATTTTTTTAAAAAGTCGTTTTAACTAGGAGTTCACTTTCCCGAGGAATTTATTTTTGAATTTGTACAATGGTAGATATATATTACTTACTAAATCCTGTTACTCTGTTACCCTTCGCAGACCAGCGAATTGTTTATTTTTGATTAAGGTCTTTCTATAGCAAGTTGGATTTCTGCGGGGTGGGGTCGCTAAGCCTATGCAAACCCTCCTCATTTATCAGGGCTTGGGACCGACAGTAATCCTAGAAGCGCTTATTATGCTCGTCTCTAGGTATGCTTAAAACTATTACGAGTTCACCTTAGTCGAATAACGAGAACAAAACAATGAACCAGAGTCCAAGTCGGGCACTGTGATCTATTGACCAAACTGTACCAGCAAGAAGTCTTGATATAGCGTAGAAAGTGTATTCTGCAAACACCCAGACAGCACACAATGAATCCAAACACTCAAATTGTGTTTATTTATACTCTATAGAGACGTCGTTGGGACAGTCACACAAATAGCACACTAAAATGACACAGTAACCAATCACAGCCAAGGATTTTTCTTGGTGGGAAATATGATCTCAAGGTCAACTGATCGATCCATGAAATGAATCCAAAATAAAGATATTTATCAAACGAGTTCTAGGGATTGAACATCCCCAACACGCTACAGGCGGAGTTCATCGTAAATATTGACTTAGATTTTATTCCTACACGATAATGAAAAATGCCTTTTACTTAAACATGGTAACCGTGAAGCGACTTAGATGAAAATGTATCCAACATTGTTTCGGTTAAGGTGATGACCAGTGGAGTTCAACCCTGATTGAATGAAGGCTGTTACCTACCGGGTATGATAGGTCGAGTTTCCTAATACCTTGGGTTGATTAAAGTTAAACAATAACACCATTGGATGCTGACTCATCGGTCCAGAGGTTAAGCTTTCGCCCATGGGACCGAAGGTACTTGGTTTGATTCCCGCATGTTGGTGTTATGGAGGTAGACTTCTGATGAGTCCCATGCTAGGATGAAACAACTACGGAGTGCTTTCAAGCTTTTAATGGTGATGGTCTAACATTAATCGACTCATGATTGAAAATAGTGTGATTGTTGAGAGCTTAAATACTTATCATGAAGATTGATAAACAGTTTCTAATCGGAAAAGGCTGGATTATTTACAGGAGTAGAGAAGTTTGTCTATAAAAGTTTTGATAGATATTAAATTTATTACTGTTCTAATTAGTAAGAGATTAGTTTATTTAGGATGCATTAACTCCCTAGTTTTCTGTGATTTTTTTAAAAATTTTTTTCCATTTCTTCTTAAGCTTCTCCGTCAAAAGTGATCTGGTTGGTGCATGTTGTTAATGATTGCAGGATCTTGCTTTTATCCTTGTGCATTTTGAGACCTACTGCTGTGGAGGTTTCTGCAACGCTGGTCTCGTGACTTGCAAAACGAAACTCAACTTTCATTATGAGCTGTGTTAACGTTTCTAAATGAAGACCTTCCAGCTGTCAGAGCAAGTTAAAATTTTTCGGGTTTGGGTAGTTTATGACATACACAACATTCCATCTTCCTTTATCCGGGCTTGGGACTCGCAGTGATCTCAGAATTGCTCTAGTCAGTTACAATATGCCTGCGAGATATCCATTTGCTAATTAAAGGATGAGTCTACTGCAAAGAAGTTCGCTCCGTCCTACAATAAGTTTGCCACTACTAGTTTTCAACCAACCGAGCAAGCGATCCTATCGTTAGGAAACTAGTATTAGGTAAAGATGGCAGATCAATAGATGAAGTATTGAAACTTCATCGATCGAAGTAATTAGTTCATGTGTTACGTATGCCCGACCACCGTCTGTTTCGACGAGTAATGTTTTATGATGTAGGAGAGTGGACTGGAAGAAAACTGGAGGCGGCCGAACCAAAACATGTCAAGAATCCATCAAGTCACTGATAACTGGTTAGAGGACCTTGGACGACATGGCTCAAAATCGTTGGCAATGGCACCCGTATATCTCAAATTCTAATCTTCTGAATTCCTCATCATCTCTATCTTTCTCTTTCTAAAGTTGTCTCACTGAATTACACTTCGTGAATAATTTCTTCGAACCCTAATTTTCTCCATTATCGCTGATACTTCTACTATGACTACCATCGTGGGATTTGAACTGACAATTGCGTCTCTGTGCTAATATAGTATGGCAACCTGAACTAGTGTACATACGTAGGAATTTCTACGTTGTAACTGACTGACTAACTGACTGTCACAGCTTACATTTATATTCCTCTTACTAGCTTAAGTGTTATTTGTTGAAGGTACTCGGTGACTAATTCGTTTTCTTATATATTAAAGTACTGGCTTGGAGTCTTGCAGTGAACAGCAACTCTGGAATGCTAGTACATCTAGCTGATAAGTTGCATTTAGGACGAAACATAAGTCCTCGATTCTACAGCTAGTCATCATTCATGCATTTTTATTCAGTCTAGTTAGTTTTTTGTCTTTCAACCTAGGCTTAACACTAATTAAAAGTGTTGGTACTGAGAACATTCAATGATCAATGATAATTTTACATAGATTGAACAAAATCAACCATCTTTTTTTTGTGTGTTCATATTTCAATGATTGAAAAGTTTTATAAAACAAAATTGACAACTATGTTGTTGGGGATGTGAAATCCCCAGAACCCGCTCGATAAACGTCTTAATTTCGGATTTTATTTATGGGCTGATCAGTTGACCTTGAGATAACGTTTCCCACCGGGAAAATCCTTGACTGTGATTGGTTACGGTGTCATTTCGGTACGCTGTTTTTGTGACTCTCCCAAGGACGTTACTATGATGTATAAATAAACGCGATTTCTGTGCTTGAAGTCATTGTGCTTGCTGGGTATTTGTAGAACATACTTTCTATGCTATATTAAGATTTTTTCGTTAGTTCCTTTGGGTCAACGGATCAGAGTAGCCTACCTGGACGTTGGTTGATTGTCTCGTTCTCGTTTATCGACTTAGGCGAACCGGTAATATTTTTAAGCATAGCAATTGACGACCATAACATATGTAAACCATTCAAATGCTTACTTTCGAAAAAGACATCCACGATCAATAAACATTTTCACAATTTCAATATGTCCATGTTCCACTGCCACATGTAATGGTAAACGTCCAATCGCATCAGGACAATTCATTGCACGCATCCCATGTGATGTACTCAACAATTTTTCACATGTATGCAAACGACCATAATAAGCAGCTGTATGCAATGAGGTGTTACGTTGATTATCACGTTCCAATGCAGAGGCGCCATGTAGGATAAATGTAATAGTTGCGCCTAAATTACCCATTTTTGTGGAATAATGTAATGGAGTTGTACCATATTTATCTTTTTCATTAACTAATCGTTTAAATAATGCTTCCTGTGAGATAAAATTTAAGAGGAAAAATAAAGGATTCATTCTAGGTTATCAAAGTTAGTAATTATCTACATATATTCCTTACTAACTTACGCGTAAAGAAGCATAGGCCACTGACTAGTATTGTCAAACCAACTCTGTGCACAGGGCCTTCCTTTTTAGTCCTGCCCGATTTCTATTCATTGTTTTCAGGTGTGTTTCCGATTCTCGGTATACTGTGTTCCTTGGTCTAGATCGTTTCCGCTGGTCTTGAGAATTTCAAGTTAGGACTTGCCTGGCGATGCATTTGGGTGATTTCCGCAATGTATGTCTTATCCAACCACCAGTATTGTCTATTGATTTCTTCCTCACCTGGAGGAATCTATTTTGTTCTCTCCCTCAGCAGATTGTTGCGGATGGTATCTAGACAACGGATCCCCAGTATCTTGCATCAATAACTGTTTTTCAACACCTTTATCTCTTGAATAATGGCTTTCGTAGCTTTCCAAGTTTCTGTTCCATACAACAGAACTATCTTGACGTTTGAATTGAAATTTATAATTTTGGTATTGATTGACAGAATGTGTTCTTTGGTTCTAAGAATATTTATCTTTCTTTGCCAATCTGTGTCCTTACACCAGCATCAGTTCCACCTTGTTTATTAATGATCCTACCCAGATATGTAAAGATTTCCGCATCTTCCAAGGCTTCTCCGTTGAATGTGATTTGGTTAGTGCATGTTATGTTGTTTCGGAGGATTTCGCTTTTACCCTTGTTTATGTTGAGACCTACTGTTACAAAGGCTGCTGATACACTGACTAACTTCTCTTGCTTTTGTTGTTGTGCGTGGGTGAGAATGACTGGGTCATCTGCAAAGTCCAGGTGCATCTGAGATGTTGACGTCTTCATAATTCAGTCAGCCAACTGTAGAAACAGAAATAGTGAGACGAAACAACCTTGTCTGATGTTGATCTTCAGTTAGAACAAATCTGTGAGCTACGCTTCATGAAGCTGATACCATTTCGTGAATTTCAATGCCAACATTCATTTTTAATTAGTTATAAAAACCACTGGTGATTGTTGAATTTCATTTTCAGGTTTCTAATTCTGGTCTAACAATGATTGATTCATAATATCAATGAAACTCGTTATTCTCCATAACTCTATGATGAAAAATCATAAAATGTGCTTATTGCTGACTAGTTTCGTGAAGAAATCCTCGGAGTTCTAGTGAGAAGCTGTAATGGATGGTATTCAACCCTGTCGGGTGTAGGCAGTTACCTACCGAACACAATCGGTGAGGTTGCGCAATATCAGAGGTTGATTGAAGTTACACATCAACACTATTGAATGCCAGCTCATGGGTCTTGAGATTAAGCGTTCTCGCACGAGGTAATGGGTTGAATTCCCGTGAGCAGGGGTCATGGATGCGCACTGCTGATGAATTGTTCCATACTAGAACGAGATGGCCATTCATTGTTTGTGTGTGATCGATTCATATTTGGAAAATTATTGACATTTTCAAAGTTAGTTTCAATCTTTTTTGTAATTATATAAGACAACAAAAGTGTTTATAACAAGGTCTTGTTCAGAAATATTCAAAAGAAAAAATTAAAATCACTCTGAACTTATTCATTTCGGAACTGCCGAGAAAATCTGAAGATACTAGTTGAAGTCAGACAAGAACATTGTTGGATGCCAGTTCAGTGGTTCTGACTTTGATTCCCTTTTGTTGGGTCTCTGATGTGTGTACTGCTAATGAGTCTCATACTCGGATGAAATGGCCATCCAGTGTTCTCAAGTTTTGTTCAGTTCGTGACTTCAACTGTGAAACCAATACAATCACTGCAAATCCTCTAAACCAATAAATGAATTAGCTGACTTGTAAACTTCATGAACTGTTGATGATGTTTATGACCTCTTTGAAGATTGACTCAAAGCGGTATCATTTCTTTCAATATTCATTTTTGTACACGCTGAAGTAGTCAATCAATCATTGTTAGATCACACTTAGAAACATGGAAGCACTGAGGGACGGCTTTTTCGACGTGATATGAGACTTATCGGTAATGCGCATCCAAGACTCCTCTACCTCGCAGGATTCGAACCCAGGATCTTTAGTTTAGCGCACGAACGCCTAAGCTCTGGGCCGGCATCCAGCGGTGTCAATGTCTAACTATGATTGATTATTTCAACGTGTAAAAACACTCATCTCCATAAGTGTAATTGAAAAAATTCATTTCTCCTTCAAACTCTTGAACGTTAATCATTTACCTAGAACTAATTGCGCCACGGTCTGTCAATCATAATCTATGGATTTAATTGAATAATTTTCAATATTTTCTTATGAAGGACTTATTGATACAGCGGAATCCACAGGACATCTTCAATATGGAACTAAAGGTGATGTCACAGACTAATCTTCTTGAATAAAATTGTATATATCTAGTGAGAAGATGTCACTGGTGCAGTTCAGCCATGCCGCGTGTGAGACATTTACTCACTGAACACAATGGATTGGTTGAAGTTAGACATTAACATCGTTGGATGTTGGTTGGCTAGCTGGTCAAGCGACTAAGCGTTCGCTCACTAGAGTGAAAGTCTCGGGTTTAATTCTCATGTGTCAGGTCATGGACATACAGTGTTGAGGAGTCTCATTCTAGGACGACGAGCTATGTGTTGTGGTATAGGAGTAGATTGGAAGAAAGTTAGGGGCGGCCAAACCAAAACATGGCACAAATCCATGAAACCACTGACAAATGGACTGAGTCATGTTGGTAGATGTAGGCTACCTGGTTGAGGTCAGCGAGACGAAAATCACCGATGGTTAGAGACCTTGAATGTCATGGCTCAAAATCGTTTGCAATGGCGCAGGTGCATTCATTCTTTGTGTTCTTTCAAATTCTAACCTTCTGAATTAATCATCATCTCTCTCTCTCATCATCTTTCTCCTTCTAACTTTATTTCATTGAATTATACCCTAATCTTCTCCATTACTGTTAATACTTCTACTCTCTCTACCACTATGGGATTTAGGCTGATACTTGCGTCTCTGTGCTGATGTGATATGGCAACCTGAACTGATGTATATACGTGCGAAGTTCTATATTATATCTGTCATTAGAGGACAAAACGTCCATCTACTGTTCACAGATTCCCATTGGTAGTCTAACATTGATCGATTCATAGTTTCAATCAAAATACATATATATTTAATCTGAAATCATCAATCAATCAATCAATGTTAGACCACCATTAGAAACCTGAAAGCACTGAAAGACGGCCGTTTCGTCCTGGTATGGGACTCATCAGCTGAAAATATGTATTTAATCATCACTCACTTACATCATTCACTTCCGGTAAAATTGTCCTGATTCCTGGACCTTGAAATAACATTAATAAATGAACCAGATTACGATTACTACAATCATGTGCATTTGGATTTGCACCAAGACGTAAAAGTTGAATGCATGTTTGAAAAGCTCCTTTCATAGCAGCTAACAATAATGGTGTCCATCCATTTGTTTCAGTCATTTCTAAAGGTGAACCCTAGATGGATATTTGTAAGTTTTTAATGTGAAAAAATAGAGGTTAGGTTAGAATTACAGATTTATGAAATTGTCTACTGTATTTTTATTGGGATTTTGAAATGCTCGAAACTACTACTCGTTCACCTTACTCAGTTAACAGAACAATGATCAATGGTTCAGCTATCCTGATCCCGCAACTCGTCCCACTAACTAGAGGAAGAAGTCTTGATAAGACGTCGAGAAATGTATGCCACAGATCACCAGAAAGTACAAGATCCACAAGCACACAACTCAAGCCTATTTATATGCAATGCTAAAACGCACTATGTGAGGGCTGTGGTGCGAGCTACTTTTAAGTAGTACATGATGTGAGTGTCAACGTAATGTCTGGCAGCAGAAGAGGATGGGGAAGATCAAGAAAGAAAGAGTTAGAAACCACAATGGAATTTGTATGAAACGCATGAATAGTGACAATGGATTGACGATGTTTTGCAACAGGAACAGTTCAGTTCGATATGATGAACTGATATTTTGCAAATAAACGATTTACGATATGGTTTTCCTATTTTACTGAGTAACTCTGTAGTTTTCGTTAAATACATTTCAGTTGCCCCACCTGTGTTCTCCTTAACTACAGGGCCACAAAATAGCCTACTAAAAATGATCCGTCAACCAATGACAGTCGAGGATTTTGCCGAAATGCAAGCTTGAAGGCCGACTAGGCGTCTTTGGCGCGAAAACATAAAAAAATCAAAATTTCAGAATTAGGACCTGTTCCAAGTGAGTTCTGGGGATCTAACGTTCCAAGAAGATTGTCATTTGAGAATCGGCATCTAGAGATATGTATTCTCTTTAGGTTGATTCAGAAAACATTCAGTCATTAGTTAAATCAGTTTTAGATCTTTTAGACACATTGCTCATTTTTCAAAATGGTCACTTTTAATGAGGAAAGATTATTTATATTTGAACGTATGTTTTGTTTCTCAGTTAGACTAAGTGAAGTGGTCACTACTCTCACTGTAGTGTCGCCCAGCAAATACAGTTGGGGCGATAAGTGTATGTCTCGATCAAAGTGTTTGAAGACCAGAAGATACCATAAAAGAAGACAGTCAACAAACTGTTTGTACTGATATTGGGGGTCTGAAGCTAAGAGGTATTACACAATTCATTAGTAAATTGTGCCTTCTGTGCATTCGCTACAATTCCATATGCTCTTGAAGTCTTCATTCATTACAATAAGAGACAGTATGCAGATGACAATCATTGCAAACTCATCCTGACACTGTATGAATTCTCTCTCTCTCTCTAATGATAACTAACAGCGTGTATACTTTTATGTTGAGCTTTCGGATAAACTAATCATACCTCTTCTGTCTAAATCATTATACACATAACTTTTGACCTTGTCTATCATTCGTTCATGTCTTGGTTAGGGTTTATTCGAATAGGTTCGCTTATCACATGAATGACTTACTTTTTGTCTGACTATTCGCGCCTCATTACATTCAGTTGGCTTGCCCTCTCTACCTCGCTTTGCTCTCTAATTGTATGCTATTCATTCTGATGTCTACCTCTTTAAATGAATTCATGAACGATTGGTTGAAATAAACTCATCCAACCGCCATCGCCTAAGAAGTATGATTTACGGAAATCGAAGAGAAGATTTCCTTCATAACATACTCGAACGAACTTACAGGTCACTAAATCAGTGACCGAAACTTTAAATTGAATACGGCTATAAAGTATAACAAAAAACATTAAATTATTTGCCTTGAAATCATGAATGAATCAATGTTAGACCAGTAGAGTTCAACCCTGTCAGGTGTGGCCAGTAACTACCGAAGACAAGCGGGTGAGACTGTGATCAGTGTTAGACATTAACACCGTTAGATGACAGCCGGCTCGGTGGTATAGAGGTTAAGCGTTCACGGGGCAAGACCGAAGGTCCTGTTGTAGTGAAGGAGAACACAGGTGGGGCAACCGAATTGATTTAACGAAAATTACAGAGTTACTCAGTGAAATAGGAAAACCATATCGTGATCGTTAATTTACAAATCTTCAATCAGTCATCACTCTTCCTTTCTTGATCTTCCCCCATCTTCTTCTGCCAGACATTACGTTGATACTCACGTCATATACTACTTATAAGTAGCTCGCACCACACTCGTCCCCCCTTTTAATAAGCTGTCGTCACTTTCAAAGCAGAGACTCGGCAGCGTACGGCGCAGCGAAATCGTGAGCTCCACAGCCAGCGCCAACGGGTCACCATCAGCCGACAGCCTCGCCAACCGGAACCTCTGCGGCGCCCCCTCCCTGTCCACCGGGCTGTCGAACTCCGTCATCAGCCGCCCGGTGACCGTCTCCTACGACGTCTTCCCGGCGGCACCGTCCAGGCTGTCGTATACCGCCTTCGCCTCACCTCCCCGTAGCGTCCGTCCTCCAACTCCTTCGGCCACGGGACTGTGAGTACCAGGAGTTGTGGATGCTCACTGACCTATACAAGGACAAAATGACCGTCTTCCAATATATTTCCAGGTTTCTAACGCTAGTCTAACACTGATTCAGGCATGATTTCATGTCTATTTATACACTCTCTAACAAATTATTTAAATTTTTAATTTAAAACAAACAGTCAAACAAACGAAGGACATACTTGTTCAATTAAATAAGTAACAAGTTTATCATGATTATAAACTGCAGCTAAATGTAGTGGTGTATAACCATTTTTATCAGACATTTGTAATACAATCGATTTAATATTTGGATTTGCATTGAACATCAATTGAACACATTCTAAATCATCTTTCATACATGCATAATGAATTGGTGTTGAGTCATCATTTTGTTTAGCTAATATAAATGCATTATGTTCTAAACAAAACTACTCATAAGTAGTAGTAATAGAAAAAGAAGAAGAAAGAACAAAGAACAATTTTATTTCAATGTAAATGTAATTATATATTGATTTGTTCAATATTGAAATCATAAAATCAATCACATTGTCAGACCACCACTATTAGAAACCTGGAATCATTGGAAGACGGTGGCTTCGGCCTGATTTGGGACTACTCATCAGTGGTAGTGTGCATCTACGACTCTTGCGACTCACAGGACTCGAACTCAGGACCTGTGCGAACGCATAGCCATTGGCACTTCACTCATTAGTCTCTGATCAGTCAGTCAGTCAGTCAGATGCAACGTAGAACCTCGTATGTACGTACTTAACCAATGAAACAATTCAGTTATTTTGAGAAGGCAGAGAGAACACAATGAATAAATGCACCGGCGCCATTGCAAACGGTTTTGAGCCATGTCATTCAATGTCTCTAACCATCGATTATTATCATCTCGCGGACCTCAACCAGGTAGTCGACAATTACCGACATGGCTAAGTCCACTAGTCAATGACTTCATGGATTTGTGCCATGTTTCGGTTTGGCCGCTCCCAGCTTTTTCCCAACCTACTCCTACACCACAAAACATAGCTCATCGAGACAGTCGGTGGTTAGGCATACGCAGCACATGTCTCAACCACCTCAACTGATCAAGTTTCAATACTTCATCTATTGACTTGCCATCCTTACCTATCACCCGTTTCCTGGCAACTGGATTGCTTAGTCGGTTGTCGCACGGTATACGAGCAATGCTTCTTAAACATCTATGATCGAATACTAGTAACCTACGATCATCTTCTACTCTTAACGGCCATGTTCCGCTACTACTCTCAGGACTCAAACCCAGGACCTGTGTGAACGCCTAACCTCTGACACTTCACCCATTTGTCTTTGGTAGTTGATGCCTTTACCCGATACAGGCTTGAACTCCACTAGTCATGTCTTCTCACTAGAACTTTGAGAATTTACTCACGAAGTTAGTCACTAGTGAGCGAATTGTATAACTTTTGGTTATAAAATTATAGAGATTGTTGTTTGTTACTGAAATCATGAATCAGTCATTGTTAGATCACCACTGCAAACATGGAAGCATTGGAAGACGGCTGTTTCTGCCTGGTATGGGACTACTCATCAGTGATAGTGTGCATCTATGACTCCTGCTACTCACAGGACCTCCGGTCTTGCGTGTGAACGCCTAACCTCTGGACCACTGAGCCGGTATCTAATGGTGTTAATGTCGTAGGTGCGCACTGCTGATGAGTCCCACACTAGGACGAAACAACTGTCCACTGCTTTCAGGTTTCTAATAATGGGTCTAACATTGATCGATTCATGATTTTAAATGTGTAACTTAACAATCCTCACAACCCCGTAATGCAGTTACCTGTGCTCATTAATGACGTCTAGCTTCGTGTGGAATTTTCTCCGAGTTCTAGTGGTAAGTCTTGACCAGTGAAGTTCAACCTGGTCGGATGTAAACGGTAACTGCTGAAGACAGTTTATGAGGTTGCACAACTCCGTAAATTGATCTAAGTTGGACATTAACACAGCTAGATACCGACCGGCTCAGTGGTCCGGAGGTTAGGCGTTCGCACTCAAGACTAATGGTCTTGAGTTGGAATCCTGCGAGGTACAGGAGTCGTGGACGAAGACTGCTGATGACTCCCATACCAGGACAAAACGGCTGTCTAGTGCTTCCAGGTTTTTAACAGTGGTCTAACATTGACTGATTCATGATTTCAAATGTTTAAATTATTAAAAATTTAACGACAGTAAACAGGGCAGCATTTTTAAAATTAGTTACCAATCAGAAGTATACAATTCAAATAGCCTATATTTCAAGTGTATCAAACATTGGATTGGCTATTTTGTATCGATCATAATCAGTAACTGATATAATCAACCAATCACAAGTGGCTAAATAAGAAGTCCTTATGAATGACCAATAGAAAATGTTTTAACTAACGAATGAATATTATTGGTCAAGAAATGGATTCACTTTCTAAGGAGGTGGAATATATATATATATACGTTTGTGAGCTTTTACTGTCGAATTTCATGATTATCAATTACTTGTATAGAATACAAACGTTGTGTTTAACATAGCACTAGTGACTAGCTTCATGAAGATATTTTCTCTAAATTCTATTGAGAAGCCGTGAACAGTCGAGTTTGGCTGTGTCACGTGTCACCCCTTTGAGGTTACGCAATACCTTGGTTTGATTAAAGTTAAACATGAACACAGTTAGATGTCACGCGCGAGACTGAGGCTCATGTATGCACACTACCAACAAGTCCAATCCTAGGTTTTATGATCTGTAAAAAACAGTTCGTTAACTTACTTTAACCATATCAGAATTGCCTGATGTAACTGCAGCATGCAATGGAGTTTCACCTTCACAATCAGTCAGATTAATTAAACGATTCTCTTTGTGATTTTCAACAAAATATGTCGATTGATTTGAATCGACTGATTTCTTTTTAATCTGATTTTCGAAATTATTATTGTTATTATATATTGGGTTGATTTGTTGCATGTCCATATTATAGAATGTCTGTTTCACTACTTCATTTGATTCTATTGGTAGATTTGAATTTTTCGCTTGTAAATATGCTTCCATTTTGAATAATAAATTTAAACATTTTCGACTAACATTAGCAATTGCCACGTGGACTGGATAGGTATGTTCTAAATCATAGGCGAATATGTTAGCTCCTTTGTTCAACTATATGGAATACAGAAAATTTACCAGAATTAACGATTATAATAAATGATACTAGTAGTGGTGTAGTGAACGAGAACACAGGTTGGGCAACCGGATTTGATTTACCGAAAATTACAGAGTTACTCAATAAAATTGGAAAACCATATCGTAAATCGTTAATTTTCAAAATATCAGTCCATCATATCGAACTGGACTGTTCCTGTTGCAAACAACATCAATCCATTGTCACTATTCATGCGTTTCATACAAATTCCATTGTGTTCTAACTCTTCCTTCCTTTCTTGATCTTCTCCCATCTTCTGCTGCCAGACATTACGTTGACACTCACGTCATATACTACTTATAAGTAGCTCACACCACAGTGGTAGTAATAATTACTATGAAAATCAATAATCGGCGAGCTGTTTGAATAGTCTACAATCAATTGAAAAACATCTTAAAACTCTAAACAACTATCAACCAACATTAAAGTCATGATTTTTTCAATACAAATTTCAAGTTAGTTTTACTGTATGGGATGGAAACTTGGAGAACTACGAAAGCCATCATTCAGAAGATACAAGTATTTATTCATAGTTGTCTACCCAAGATAATGAGCATCCGTTGGTCAGACATCATCAGCAACAACTTACTTTGAGAGAGAACAAACCAGATTCCAGCGGAGGAAGGAATTAGGAAGAAGCGCTGGAAGTGGTTAGGACACACATTGAAGAAAACACCTAACTGCGTCACAAAATGAGCTCTCACTTGGAATCCTCAAGGTTAGAGGAAAAGAGGAAGACCAGACAACACATTACGCTGAGAAATGGAGACAGACATGGGAAGAATGAACGAAACTTCGACAGAATTGGAAAGGGGAGCCTTGGACAGAGTGAGTTGGAGAATGCTGGTGGGCGGCCCATGCTCTGTTTGGGGATAAAAGGCGTAAATACGTGGAAACTTCTGGATCCCTATCGGAAACCTGGAAGCACTGAGGTGGTGTTAGGATAGTCATCCAATATCCTAAGAGAATTATTGGTCAATTCCTATTGGTTAATTCATAATGGTCAATTTTATGGTCATCCTAGATATCAATGTCACGCACTTCAATGTTTTTTCATATTGGTCGACCTGACTATCAATGTCACTTCAAATTTTGTTTCCTATAGGTCGCCTTAACTGTCAATGTCACAGACTTCGATGCTGTTTCCTATTCAACCTAAATGTATAAATACGCATTATCTGTAACTTTTTATGACCAGGACACTTTTTCGAATCCTTAGTCTGCGATCTTGATTCCCTTATGGACTCGTACCTCGTATTTTCTGAATGCTTGTGGAATACATGTTCTACTTCATATCAAGTCTTCTCATTTTTACTCAATATTGGGGGTTGGGATGATCGGATTCGAGTAGCATGTCCTGTCGCCGGATCCTCGATCTTCGCTCTCGTTTTCCGACTAGGTAAACTCGTAATAGTTCAAGCATATCAAAATGACGTATTTACGTGCAGGCGTAACAGGTTGATGATCAGCTGTGCGTATACGTGGCTTCTTAAGTGGAAATCAAACCCAGAACTTTCGATCTCGCGTTTGAATGTCTAATCTCTCTCACTCATCGGTCATGGATGTTAACTGTTTATAAATCAGAAACTAGGGCAAAACGGCTTTCCAGCGTCACCACGTTCCCATCAATGGTTCAATACTGATTAATTCATAATTTCAGTTAAACTCAACAATTTCCACAATCTTATACTACTGACTAAAAAAACTAACTTTTTTCGCAAACTTACAAGTATTTCCATACATTCCACACTGTCACGAATACAACAGTAATGCAACGGCGATGCACCACGTTCACCTTTCGCATTCACATCGACATTATCCAATTCTAATAATGTCTATAAGAATAATAAATGAACATCGAAGTACAACTAAGCATTTTTTGTGAGATCATGAACCGACCAATACTAGACCATCATTAGATATCTGGAAGCATTAGGCGTCCATGATAGTGGTCATGTATGCGTGCTACTCATGAGTAGTTCCATACTTGGACAAAATGGATATCTAATGCTTCCAGATTATGAATGATGGTCTTGTAGTGCGTCCACGTATATTCGAGTTCGCTTACATTTAATTTGGTTAAGCCGTTTCGATTAATTTTTTATTTAACCAAGCCATTTGTATAACAACAATAACTTATATGTACTATTGGCTTTTATTATTGTGTGGTTTGTATGAGCTGGTATGACTGAGCATTGTTTAACGCCTACGCGCATAGGCATCCTATTCACTTTCATATTGATCTCTTGAATATCACGATGACTCAAACATTTTCCTTTGTATATATACGAACTCGCACATTCACCCATTCACTCGCTAGTGTGCCTGCCCGGTCTGCTTGTGGTCTGCTATCCCATATTTGTGGTATGCCAAAATAAACGTATTCAACACACTACGAGTTCACCTACTGATTTATAAACCGTCAGATGCTATTTAGTAACGATTGTCTGGACGAGCTAATCACGAACGAAGCATAAGAACACGTCGAAATAGACCACCACAGTCTAACATTAATCAAAATTCATGATTTCATTCAAATTAATTTACCTTTAATATACTAGAATAATTTTTTTCACATGCTATATGTATTGGTAATTGACCATCTTTATTTGGAATTGTTGGTGTAGCGTCAACACTTAGCAGATAACGTACTACAAGTAAATGTCCTTCTTTAACAGCTAAATGTATTGGAAGATTACCATTTTCATCGGGTTCATTCACTTCTATTGGATGAAAAAAAGCGGGAAAAAGAAGAGGAATTTTGTGTATTCAATATTCGGTTTTCAATATTCAATGTAACATTGAAGCCATTTTATGTATATATACGATTATATTGTGGTGCGAGCTTCTTATAAGTAGTATATGACGTGAGTGTAAACGTAATGTCTGGCAGCAGAAGATGGGGGAAGATCAAGAAAGGAAGAATGGGAACACAATGGAATTTGTATGAAACACATGAATAAGTAACTCCGCCAGTAGAACCTTCGGGGCTACTGCCGGTCCCAAGCCCGGGTAAAGGAGGAGGGTTGAACATGGGGTTGGCGACCCCATTCCGTCAAAAACTAACTTGCCAAAAAAACGCTAACCAGAAAAAATAATTCAAACCATTTTAACTCTGCCCTGGGAGTTGGAGGAAGAATTATGACGTCTCGTGATGAAAGCCGAGTTCCCTCGGAAGTCACGGGGCCGATGCCTCTTCTGACAACCAGAGCAACCATTTTTTTAGGTACATGGAACGTTCGTACATTGTGGGAGACCGGAAGCCTATTTCAAGTTGCGGCAGAAATGAAAAGATACAACCTCGAGGTGCTTGGAATCAGTGAAACACATTGGACACAAGTAGGACAACTGAGACTAGCTTCAGGGGAACTGCTGTTATACTCTGGTCATGAAGAGGAAAATGCTTCACATACACAAGGAGTTGCATTGATGCTGTCCAAACATGCACAAAAGGCACTAATAGGATGGGAATCTCATGGACCCAGGATCATTAAAGCATCCTTCAAAACAAAGAAAGAGGACATTACAATGAACGTCATCCAATGTTATGCACCTACCAACGACTACAATGACGACGATAAAGATCAATTCTACGAAAGGCTGCAGTCAATCGTCGAGAAATGTTCACCAAAGGATTTGACGATTCTTATGGGAGACCTGAATGCCAAGGTTGGAATGGACAACACTGGATATGAAGACATCATGTGACGACATGGACTGGGAGAAAGAAACGAAAACGGTGAGAGATTTGCAAACCTATGTGCCTTCAACAAACTGGTCATCGGTGGCACAATATTCCCGCACAAACGCATTCACAAAGCCACATGGATTTCACCGGACTACACTACTCAAAACCAAATTGACCATATCTGTATCAACAAAAAGTTCAGAAGGACCATGGAGGATGTGAGAACCAAGAGAGGAGCTGATATAGCTTCAGATCACCACTTGCTGATCGCCAAAATGAAACTGAAACTAAAGAAGCACTGGACAACGGGGCAGACAACATCACACAAGTTTAATACGGCCTTTCTTCGGGATACTGTAAAGCTCAACGAATTCAGGATAGCCCTCACCAATAGGTTCCAGGCCTTTCAGGTTCTACACAATGGAGATGACGCAACATTGGAGAACAATTGGAAAGGGATTAAGGAGGCAATCACTTCAACATGTCAGGAGGTCCTTGGTCGCAAGAAGCACCATCACAAGGAATGGATCTCTGTTGATACTCTCGCAAAAATTGAAGAAAGGAGGAACAAGAAGGCAGCAATCAATGTCAGCCGAACAAGAGCAGAGAAAGTTACCGCACAAGCTGCATACACAGAAGCAAACAGGGAAGTGAAGAAGAGCATCAGAGCTGACAAACGAAAATACGTGGAAGATCTAGCAATGACGGCGGAAAAGGCTGCAAGAGACGGAAACTTGAGACAATTGTACGAAACAACAAAGAAGCTCGCCGGAAACTATCGTAAACCAGAACGACCAGTGAAAAGCAAGGGAGGCAAAGTAATCAGCAACACTGAACAACAGCGAAATAGGTGGGTAGAGCACTTTAAGGAACTCCTAAATCGACCAGCTCCTCTGAACCCACCCAACATCGAAGCAGCATCCACAGACCTCCCAATTAATATTGGCGCACCTACGATTGAGGAGATCAGTATGGCCATCAGACAAATCAAGAGCGGCAAAGCAGCAGGACCAGACAACATTCCAGCAGAGGCAATGAAAGCAGATGTAGAAGCAACTGCGAAAATATTTCACATCCTCTTCAAGAAGATTTGGGATGAGGAACAAGTACCATCAGATTGGAAAGAAGGATACCTCATCAAAATACCAAAGAAAGGCGATCTCAGCAAGTGTGAGAACTACAGAGGCATCACTCTTCTTAAAATACCAGGCAAAGTCTTCAACAGAGTATTATTAAACAGAATGAAGGACTTCGTAGACGCCCAACTTCGAGATCAACAGGCCGGATTTCGTAAGGATCGATCGTGTACTGACCAAATTGCTACATTACGGATCATTGTGGAACAATCAATTGAATGGAACTCACCACTCTACATCAACTTCATCGACTACGAGAAAGCATTCGATAGCGTGGATAGGAAAACACTGTGGAGGCTTCTCCGACACTACGGTGTGCCTGAGAAAATAGTTAACATCATACGGAACTCTTATGACGGATTCAACTGCAAAATCGTACACGAAGGACAGCTAACAGACTCCTTTGAGGTGAAGACCGGTGTCAGGCAAGGTTGCTTACTCTCACCCTTTCTCTTTCTCCTGGTCATCGACTGGATTATGAAAACGTCAACATCTGGGGGGAAGCACGGTACCAACTGGACAGTAAGGACGCAGCTGGACGATCTAGACTTCGCAGATGACTTGGCTCTTCTATCGCACACTCAACAACAAATGCAAGAGAAGACGACCAGTGTAGCAGCAGCCTCTGCAGCAGTAGGTCTCAACATACATAAAGGAAAAAGCAAAATTCTCCGATGCAACACAACATGCACCAACCGAATCACGCTTGATGGAGATACCTTGGAGGACGTTAACACCTTCACATATCTTGGCAGCATCATCGACGAGAAAGGTGGATCTGATGCAGATGTGAGGGCGCGGATTGGCAAAGCAAGGGCTGCATTTCTACAGTTGAAAAATATCTGGAACTCCAAACAACTTTCAAACAAAACCAAAATCAGGATTTTCAATACAAATGTGAAGACAGTTCTACTGTATGGAGCGGAAACATGGAGAACTACCAAAGCCATCATCCAGAGGATACAAGTGTTTATTAACAGCTGTCTACGCAAAATACTTCGTATTCGTTGGCCAGACACGATCAGCAACAACGAACTGTGGGAGAGAACAAACCAGATTCCAGTACAGGAGGAAATCAGGAAGAAGTGATGGAAGTGGTGGATAGGACACACACTGCGAAAAGCACCGAACTGCGTCACGAGACAAGCCCTCACATGGAACCCTCAAGGCAAAAGGAAAAGAGGAAGGCCAAAGAATACATTACGCCGAGAAATAGAGAAAGATATGAGAGGAATGAACAAACATTGGACAGAACTGGAGAGGGAAGCCCAGGACAGAGTTGGTTGGAGAAAACTGGTGAGCGGCCTATGCTCCATTGGGGGTAACAGGCTAAAGTAAGTAAGTAAGTACATGAATAAGTGAAATGTCAGACAATGGATTGATGATGGATTGAAGATTTGCAAATTAACAACGGTTTATGATATGGTTTTCCTATTTTACTGAATAACTCTGTAATTTTCGTTAAATACAATTCGGTTGCCCTCACCTGTGTTCTCCTTCACTACAGAAAGGAAATAATTAGCAGAATTATTAAAAATAAACATGTCTTCAGGGATAGAAAGATAAAATTTTCTCAGTTAGTCAGTTAGCTACAACATAGAACTTTGTAAATACATACATCAGTTAAAGTTGCTATACCACATAACCACACAGAGATGCAATTATCAATTCAAATCACCATAGTGGTAGATATAGTAGAAGTATTCGTTGTAACGAAGAAGATTAGGGCTCGAAGATATTATTCAAGAAGTATTAGGTGGTGAAATAAATTTTAACAGAGAGAAAAATGGTCATAAAGACTTCAGAAGATTAGAATTTGAGGGAAGATAAAGAAGAATGAATGCACTTACGTCAATGTGGGCGTTTTTGAGCCGTGTCAGTAAGTTTCATCTGAGTCTCTACCTTTCACCATGATCACAGTTGCGACATTAGGGTAGATCAATTTATGATTAGCAAAATTATTGATTATGGTTATTGTGAGATCTGAATTTAGAATACCTGAGATTCATTACATTATTAAGACCTAGTGTGACATATACTACTCACAACATGGTTTTTATGAGTAGCATGCAGTGATTAGGCAGCAAAGTGTCGACTATAAATTACTGCTGAAGCAAACAGTTTAGGGTCCTGGATTTACGGCGTGATCAAAGTGTTGTGAAGACTAAATGACATATAGAAGAAGGCAGTAGGTAGTCCAACTGTTTTGCGAATGAAAGATTGAAGACTAAGTGTACACATTTTGAAGTAAACAATGTCTTTAAATAAATCACAGATTTCATCTAATCTTACCGTTTTTGTTCATTGCATGATAGGGAAATGAATTTTCCTCATCTGAGTAAACAGTAATGCTAATAGAGTTCTACTTAAATTCATATAAATCCTCATTCATTTTTGGGAAACTGTTAGGGACGTTAGATCCCCAGAACTCACTTGATAAAGGTCCTAATTGCGGATTTTATGCTCTCGAGCATGGGCTGATCAGTTGACCTTGAGATTACGCTATTTTTGTGGCTCTCTCAAGGGCGTCTCTATGATGCATAAATAAACTTGATTAGTGTGCTTGAAGACCTCACATTTTCTGGATGCCTATAGAATACATTTTCTACGTCTTGTGTGCTTCAGTTAGATGGGGGCGATGGATTAGAGTAACCTGTCGTGTCACTGGATCACTTGTCTTAGCTCTTTTTTACCGACTAAAGTGAACTCGTCATAATTTCAAGCATATCAACTAGTGACGAGCATAACTGAAACACTTTTCAAAGTGATTACAAGAGACTCTTAAAAATTAATAGTCCTGATAGTGTGTCCCCACCATCATGAGCATAGATGTAAATTTGTTCTTTGCTAAAATTTGATTCTCGAATAATTGTTTCTGCATGAACTGTAATACTGTATTTAGTAAGATGATTTTACTTTTGAGTAAAAATCAATAAAACATAGTGGGAAGTTTACTATGACAGACATTGATTGGTAGCAATTGTCCGTTAAGGATTATTGGTATACAAATTTACTTACAACCTTTCTTTTTCGTCTGGTGGTTGACTGCATTATAAAGACGTCAGTATATCGGGGAAAGGAGTGGATATGATGTGCAGCTCGGATGCAACTGGACGATTCAGTCTAAACAGATCCCATAGCTCTTCTATCCAACACACAACAACTAAAGCAGAACAAGGCGACCAGTGTAGTAGCAGCAGTCTCTGAAGTAGTAGTGTAGTGAATGACAACACAGGTGGGGCAACCGGGTTATACTTATCGAAAATTACAGAGTTACTCAGTAAAATAGGAAAACCATATCGTAAATCGTTCATTTGAAAATTATCAGTCCATCCTATCGAACTGGACTGTTCCTGTTGCAAAACATCAATCCATTGTCACTATTCATGCGTTTCATACAAATTCCATTGTCTTCTTCTAACTCTTCCTTTCTTGATCTTCCCCCATCTTCTGCTGCCAGACATTACGTTGACACTCACGTCACATACTACTTATAAGTAGCTCGCACCACAGTAGGACTCAACATACACAAAGGTGAAGACAAGATCTTTCAATACAACACAACATGTACCAACCAGATTACACTTGATTGAGAAGCATTGGAAGATGTGGAACTCTTGACATACCTGGGGAGAATCTTTGACACACAAGATGAATCTGATACAGATGTAAAGACACAGATTAGCGAAACTAAGCCAGAATTTCTACAATTAAACAACGTCTTAAACTCAAAACAACTATCAACTAACACACCGAAGTCACAATTTTCAATATAAATGTGAAGACAGTTCTACAGAATGAAGTGTAAACTTAGAGAATCAGAAAAGCCATCATCAACAATATATAAGTGTTTATTAATAGTTGTCTATGCAGGATACTAAGGATCCATTGGTCAGATACCATTAGCAACAATCTACTGTGAAAGAGAACTAACCAGATTCCAGAGCAGGAAGCAGGTGGATAAGACATACTTTGCAGAAATCACTCAACTGCATCACGAAGCAAACCCTAACTTGTAAGTCTCAAGTTCAAAGGAAAACAGGTCGCCCAAAGAACACACTGTGCCGACAGTGGGAAGTAGATGTGAAAAGAATGAACAGCACATTGGGCAGAATTGGAAGTAAACGTGTAAGACATAGTTTGTGTTAGCACGCTGGTCGGCAGCCTATTACGGTTAACTGGCATAAGTAAGCAAGTAAGCAAATAAGTAATATATACATATATATATACATAAGAAAGTTTCATTTTAATCTGAAATTTATCCTGTGTAATTGACTTACTTGCTTTATATGCAATTAAAATACTTGCACATTCTAAATAACCTTTCATTGCAGCATAATGAAGTAAGGTACGTTGATTAGAGTCACATTGATTTATGATGGATGAGTTGTAGGCTAAAACTTCACTTAATCTCTCAGTTTCATTAGCTTTCACATACTTGATTGGGAAGTAAAAATTGAGCAAATAAAAACAGAAAAGAGAATATTGGTCAAAACAATTAAATTTATATAATAAATATGCTTATACATTTTTGAAACCATGAATAATCGATCAATGTTAGTAGACCACCATTAGAAACCTAGAAGCACTGGATGACCGTTTCGTCGGTATTGTGCGCGAACGCCTAACCATGGTTTCAAAATTGTGTCACTTAACAATCATCACAACTCCGTAATGCAAATTACCTGTGCTCACTAGTGATTAGCTTCGTGAGGAATCTTCTCCGAGTTCTAGTGGGAAGACGTGACCAGTGAAGTTCAACCTGTTCGGGTGTAGACAGTAACTACCGAAGACTGTGTATGAGGTTGCGCAACTCCGTGAATATGATCAAGTTAGACATTAACACCGTTAGATACCGGCTCAGTGGTCTATCGGTTAGGGCGTTCGCGCACAATACCGAAGGTCCTGGGTTCGAACCCTGCGGGGTGTAGGAGTCGTGGATGCGCACTGCTGAGGAGTCCCATACCAGGACGAAACGGCCGTCCTTCAATGCTTCCAGGTTTCTAATGGTGGTCTACCAACATTGATCGATTATTCATGGTTTCAAAAAATGTGTAACTTCACAATCTTCACCACCCCGTAATGCAAATATGTACAAAACATATCAATAGTCTGTGTCCATTATATAGATCGATCTCTCTATTTTAGGGTATCACATGAACCCATGGGGCAATAAATAGTCGTTTGGTTCTACAGTAGAACGTATTCATCGAATCCAGTATAGCGCATATATATCCAAGTTCAGGCCAGGGAAGGAGGTAAGACATGGTTTACGAATAAAATATGTACACCTTATCGTTAGTATTCTATTTGCTAAACAGATAAATTATCGACTGTCTTCTCCATGCATTTTGATCGCCTTCCATCTTCTTCCGTCTACTAGTAACTTTTAGGTAACACTAGGCTATATACTACTTATATAGTAGCACCTTGTGGTTCATAAAAACACTTCATTTATAGAAATAAACATATGTCACTTTAATGCCACGAGCTGGACGTGATTGTATAGACCACATCTTCACACTACGACAGGTCCTGGAACACAGACACACATTTAGACGTTCGACAATAGTTGTGTTCCTAGACGTAAAAGCGGCATTCGACTCAGTAGATCGTGAGGTTCTGTGGCAGTGTCTGTCAGTGGAATGCGTACCAAAGAAGTACGTTAACTTTATACAAGCTCTCTACTCGAACACTACAGGTCGAATGAGAGCTGATGGCGAACTGTCACCGGAATTCTCTACATCAGGTGGTGTCCGTCTGGGCTGTCCACTCTCTCCATTCTCGTTTAACTTTGTCGTAGACATCGTCTTAGAGTTAGCATTAAGCTCGTCTGATTTTTCAGGGGTTGACCTTCTACCAGGAAAATCGCTTACTGATCTAGAATATGCCGATGACATAGTCCTATTTGGTGAAGACGCTGACGAAATGCAGTCTTCTGACCACCCTAAGCAACAATGTAATCCTGTTCGGGATGCGGTTTTCCCCCTCGAAATGCAAAATGTTGCTTCAAAATTGGGTTTCATCGGCACCCAAACTAGTGATAGTGTGGGAAGCAGTTGAGCCTGTTGACCTCTTCACTTATATTGGAAGTCTCATCAGTGCTGATGAACTGGTGACTGACGAAATCTCAGCGCTGATTAAGAAAGCTCGATTTGCTTTTGCCAATTTACGCTGTTTATGGCGTAGGCAAGATATTCGTTCTCTAACCAAAGGACGTTTGTACTGTGCAGCTGTTCGCTCCGTTCTCCTATATGGATACGAAACATGGCCGTTAGGAGTAGATGTTCGTAGGTTACTAGTGTTCGATCTTGGATGTCTTAGAAGAGATGCTCATATATCGTGGGATAACCGAGTAAGCAATGCTGTCGTTAGGATGGCAGATCAATAGATGAAGTATTGAAACTTCATCAGTTGAGTTGGTTGGGACATGTGTTACGAATGCCTAACCACCGACTACCTCGACCAGCGTTCTTTTGCAGTGAACGAGTAGATTGGGTGAAAGCTAGGGGCGGCCAAACCAAAACCAAATCCACGAAGTCACTGATTAGTGGACTGAGTCATGTTGGTAGATGTAAGCTACTTGATTGGAGTCCGCGAGATGAAAGTCACGGATGGTTAGAGACCTTGAATGACATGGTTCAAAATCGTTTGCAATGGAGCAAGTGCATTCATTCTTTGGCTCTCTCAAATCCTAATCTTCTGGATTCGTCAACACCTCTCAACCTTTGTCTTTCTAACCTTAATTCACTGAATTTGTCCTTCTAACCTTATTTCGCTTAATTATACTTCTTGAATAATATCTTCAAACCCTAGTCTCCTCCATTACCATTAATACCTCTACCATCTTTATCACCATGGGATTTGATTTGACATTTGCGTCTCTGTGCTAATAATGTGGTATGGCAACATGAACTTATGTACATACGTACGAAGTTCTACGTTGCAACTGATTGACTGACTGACAATTTATTGCCATAGTTTTTCTCAAATTATTGTTTCGAGATAACACTGGGTATTCTCATTTACTCAGTAAACTGATTTTGAAAATAATTGTAATTGATAATATCTTATCAAAACACTATTAACTTAAAGAAACCAAATAATTGGTAGATTATGCCTGTTTGTCCACGCCCCATAACCAATCACATTTAAACCAAAATTTTAACCAAAGTACACACATCACATAAAAATTGAACCAATCGATTGGACAAGAAAAAAAAATCGATAATGCTTACATTAAAAATAATATTTGGATTCTCCAGTATTTCACCACGATTTGTAATATGAATTAGGTTTTCTTCTGGACTGATTTTATTATTTCTAAAACATTTTCTATGACATTGACTAGTTTGTAAACAACAACACATTTTGCGTGGTTTTTTCACTTTCAACTCCATTTCAGCTAATTTTTTCAATGTTTCTGCTGCTAACATTTGTGCTTCATCAAGACCGACACCATAAATATCTGTGTTAGTAGTATTATTATATTGACAACTGTTTCGAGATAGTTTAGAAATTCTTCGAGAATTTGATAATGGTAATGCGGAAGTATTCAAATAATGCATAAATTGTTGATCGTTCGAATTATTTGGACGATAATAGTCATTGTTATTCATTGTTGTGTTGTTTTGGTTCAAAGTAGATGACAGTTGATGTTCTCTATGAAAAAAGAAGAAAAATAAATTTGAATTTTGAATCAATAATTGCGATGAATTACAATTTATTTCAGTTAGTATAGTGTAGTGTATTCAAGCTATCGAGGTTGGTAAAGCTTTATTTGAAGAGGCTAAGTGATGTTTATGGGAGGAGCATTCGTTTCGAGGCACACAGACCTACCGCATAGGTGTGTTTTTGTGCGGAACAGTTACCCGGATGATCTTGGCATGCGGACGTCACACAGAGGTCAAGTGGAAAGATTTTACAACTTATGTTCCTTTTGTGTGAGCTCACTGGCTAACATTTTGCATATATCTACTCACATAAATTACATAGGCTAAGGTCCAAGTAGTTTATACACGCAAGCATATATATCAGGCAATTCCTATGGTTTTTAGTTTATGAGGATTCCAATATTCGCCCCCCTGCCACCCAGATGCGCAGAAAGTAAACGTTTACCCCATTCGATCGATTTTTATAACAATTTAATATGAGAAGTTTATTTTTCATTCAGTATTAAATGTTTAGTACAAAATGCGATTCTCGGTACGCAATATTTTATCAAGTTTCTTTTACAATACACATTTGAAATCATCAACCAATCATAGTTAAACCACCTTTACAAACCTGGAATCACTGGATGGTCGTTTCGTCCTGGTATGTGACCCATCGACAGTGCGTATCCACGATCTCTACACCTTGCAAGATTCGAACCCACGACCTTCGCTCCTGCATGCGAACAACGTTTATCCGAGTTCTAGTGAGAAGTAATGACCAGTAGAGTTCAACCTTGTTGACCGAAGACGGTGGATAAGGTTGCACAAGATCGAATTTAGGCAATGACATCGTTAGATACTGGCTCAGGGGTCCACAGGTTAGACATTTGCTCACAAAACTTAATGTCCTGAGTTGGAATCCTGCGATTTTCAGGAGTCGCGGATGCGCACTGAAACTGATGAGTCTTAAACTAAGACGAAACGACTGTCCAGTGCTTCTAGGTTAATAATGGCAGTCTAATATTGATTAATTCATCATTTCAAAAGGTGATAGTGTATAGTTGTTGGGAAGAAAGTCACATCATAATAGAATAATTGTTTCCGATTATCCTATTAAATTTATTAATAACCTTTCAAAGGTATTTCTGTATATATCTTTGTAATAGTGTGGTGCATACTACTCACAATATGGTTTCTAAGTAGAATGTAGCGGATCTGCAGCAGAATGTCAACCAGAAGTTACTGCCGAACCAATGAGTGTGGGATCCGAGTGAATGGCACGATTCAAGTGATGTGAAGACTAGAGGAAATGTGAAAGAAGATGGCCAACAATCCGCTTGTTTCTTAAATCGGAATTTGAAGATAAGGTGTACATATTTCGCCAGTAAACAGTGTCTTTTTTAAATAAATCACCGATTCTATTTGGTCTCACTTTCGTCGTTTCTTACAACATCAGGAACTACTTGAATTCATATAAGATCAACCAATTTTTTTAACATTGGAGAACATTTTTTAATACTACCCGTTTATTATAATGTGAATTAAATTTACACTGAGGAATCCTTATTTTATTTAGGTAAATTTTTTCAAATTTTCATCTCCATTTTTACAAACAATTTGAATCAATCTCAAAACAGATGCCTAGATTATTCTTTTAAATGAAAACACTTTTTCTTATTTTTTCTTTGATTGAGTTATTTTCCTGTTTAATCTATTTTGGTTTTGTTTTGAAGAAATAAATACTTTGTAAAAAATCTAAGAATAGTCAATATCTTAATACTCCGATTTTTATTGTTATATGATGAAATGTGGTTTCGTGTACATTTGAAAATTATTTAATTTAAAAAATAATTTTATACTACTTATTTTTGATTTGAGTATATCGATAATTCTTTCGATATTTTTAAAATGGACCTGATGCAACTTCCGTGAAAAAAAGTTTAGTTACATTACTTTGAATCGTATGTTAGATAAGTGAAATAATTTCCGTAATTTAGCAAGAATAAATTTTATAGTTTACATTATTGAATCATTTACTAAGAATTTAAAATCAAAAGATTTCAGTCATGTTTTAAATGAACCTCTAATCCAATAACGTCACTATGTGTGATGGGAACGACTAGAAAATATAGAGAGCGTGGTACGTTGTCCTTAAAACCAGATATTCGGACTAAGTTACAGTCAGTCTGTCAGTGAGTTACAATGTAGAACTTGGTACATATGTACATCCATTAAAGTTACTATATCATGCTAGAACAGACAGGTCGAATTGTCAGTTTAAATCCCATAGTAATAGTAAAGGTTGTAACAGTATTAGTTGTCATGGAAAAAGCTTTATCAAATGATTTTGAGCCATGTCACTCAAAGTCGTTAACCATCGGTCACTATTGTCTAGCGAACCTCAATCAGGTAGTCGACACCTACCAACATGGCACACTCCACTTGTCAGTAACTTCATTGATTTATGCCATGTTTTAATTTGGCCTCTCCTAGTTTTCTTGCAGTCTACCACAGTATCAGACAGCATGGTTCGTTGAAGCAGTCGATGTCCCAACCACCTCAACTGATAAATACTTCTTTATTAACTTGTTTGTCACCTTTACCTAGCACCCTTTTCCTAACCCTTACTCAATGGTCCCAGGATATACGAGAAATGCTTTCAAGATACCTATGATCAATACAATTAGACCACGAATACTCTGTATTCTTAATGGGGATGTTCCACACAAGAAGTGAACAGTTGTGCAGTGGACTCGCATTTCACCTAGTAGACGGATATGTCGCCTACACCACAAACGATACAAGTTGGCATAAACCAGTTGAACCTTCTGGCTATGATAAACTGATAACTATTGAATAATGATTATCTATACCATAATTAAAAGAGAAATGTCATATTTAAAGTCATAGATTTGATGAAAATGGACTTTCTTCATCAAAAAAAATACTTAAACTATCGATATTTTTATGTGTATAATTGTGGATATTGTAGTAATAAAATTTAGATAAGTAATGTACACTGATATTTGTTAATTAAAACATACTACTTATTTACTTAATTTCAATAGTATAGCTTTAGAATTTCAAAATTTTCATTTTATTGCTGTTATTTACAAATAAAAATGTAACGTCAACTACTGTTGGTATAATGAACATTTAATAGCGATAAATACATCGATCAATGATCAAGGAATTGAAAAGTTTTCAGTTGACATGAATATTGTATCATTCCATAATGAAAGTTCATCAGTAGTAGTTCAAAAGGCTTCTAAACAAACAATAGCCAAGTATAACAGAACTAGATAGTGGAAGAACTAGCTGGAACATTGTTCCGATTATGACACTGCATACACTAAATACATATTGAACATAACAATTTCAGTCTTGAATGAGAACGCTTAATCTCTTTATCACTAATTCAATGTCAAACAGTCGTGACGTTTAATTTCAGTCCCAACAAGGGTTAAACTCAATAGATCACAGTTTCTCACTAGAACTACTGATCAGTACTTTTGTGAAATATTAATCAGACTCAACTAGTTCATTTTTTCATTTCATTCAAATTGTGCACAATAACGATATGTGGAGTTCAACCCTGTCGGGTATAGGCAGTCACTACCAAAGACAAATGGGTGTGGTTGCGCGAAATCCCTAGATCAATCAGAGTTAGATGTTAACACCGTTGGATGCCGGCCTAGTGGTCTGATGGTGAGGCGTTCGCGCACGATACCGGGAGTACCGGGTTCGAATCCTGCAAGGTGCAGGCGTCATGGATGCGCACTGCTGATGAGTTCCATATCAGGACGAAACGACTGTCCAGTGCTTCCAGGTTTCTAATGGTGCTCTGTCTAACAATGATTGATTGATGATTTCAAATGTGCAAAAACACAAATCTCCAAAGCTCTAACTGAAAATAACTATATGTATTTGAAAATTGAATCTTGAATGGTGTTTAACCATAACAGTGATAGCCAATTTGTTTAAATATACCATAAGATCTGGATAGCAAATTTTACATTACAGAAATAAATGCAGAAGAGTCTGTAACCAAAAAGTTAGCCAACATGTCAAATATTAAAAACAGGTTACGTAATGATTTATGGGTTATGAAATATTAGAAATATGAGAGATTTTCTCCCTAAGGAAGTGTAGCTTGAATCCAAATATCGAATAAAATCAATGAAATTTCCCTTTAAATTAAAACGAGTGAGATTTTCAAAGAAAAAACAAAATTTCCTATTGAACAATTTAACATTTATTCAGAGTTCAATGACTGATAAATCGGTTTGTTTAAATTGAAAACAAAATGAAATGTGAATATCATCAATTTTTTGAAATCTTGAATGGATCATTGTTAGACCATCATTAGGAATTACAAAAGCACAACACAATCATTTCACCCTGGTATGAAACTAATCATTAGTGTTCATTCACGACTCGCAATCGCAAAAATCGAACCCAGGACATTCGACAATGTATGCGAACATTTATCATCTACACCACTGAGTCGGGATCCGGTGGTGTAAATGTCTAATTTCAATCTATCCACGGTCTTGCACAACCTCATCATAATTTATTGAAACTCTTCAGATATTTTAACAACTCCTCACTTAACCAAAAACACTCATTACTAAATAATCAAAATTATTACTTGTAATAACATATGTAATAAAATAAACTTTATACTAACATTATAATAGACAGATATTGGCTTATAGTAAAATGAATGATGCGCGTTTCGTCCAATTCAAGGCTCATCAACTAGGGTGATAAATTTTAGCCCTAAACTTCAAAATAAATATACAAATAACCAAAAAAAATTCAGCAATGCGTATTTTTATTATAAACTATAAAAATAAAATTTTCTCATTATGAAGTTGTAGAGATTGGTGAGTTTTAGCGAAATCATGAATCGATAAATATGATATCACCATTAGAAATCTAAGAGTGCTGGATGACCGCTT